TCATTATTTATGAAAAAAAATTTACAATTAACAATAATAATAATTTTTGAGTAATACTTTATTAAGAAATTTAATTTTTTTCAAATCCATATATGCTTGTTTTAGGCAAAAAATTTTTCAATATTATAAAATAAGGCAGTGTTTTATTTCTTCACCATATTTATTTCACTTTATAATACGCTTCTTATAATTTAATCTGACTTTGGACTACAAGCAAAAAGCATGGTTGGATAAAATGGCTTGAAGATGGCTTACCAGCCGAACCGTAGCTATGTTAATTGAAATAAATATGGTGAAGAAATAAAGCCTTATTTTATAATATTTAAATTTTTTGTATAATCTCTATGATTATGACAAGAACTTTGGAACAATTTTTGTACATACTTATGTTTTCAACAACATTTATGTAAAATATTTATTATTAAAATTCATATCTATGCAAAGCAAAATAAGTACGAATAATATGCTCAGTGATCGTGAATTTGGAAAATTCTAAATAATGTTGATAATTAGTTATTTAAATTTATATAAAAGTTTTAAAATAAACAGAGAATAGTTAACCAATAAAGTTTTATGGATTTACGTTTCATCCGAACAGAAAGAAAAAGATAAACAAATACCAAATATTTCACATCAACAATGAAAAAAAAAGAACCAGACCTTTTCAAAATAGTATATTTGGGATTTAGTTTCAAAAAATGGTAAGAAAATAGTAAATATGTGTGGTAACAATTATAATGAAAGGATAAATATATATTTTGGGCAATATACTTACAGAATATTAAACTCCTTATAAGATTTTTATTTGGGGTATGATAAAGACCATTTTGAACTATAAAGTTTACGTGAGAAATTAGTAGTTTTCGTTTTTTTCCCTAAGTTTAACACCATATGAGTCCGAACAGGCCTAATTGTAGTTAAATATAGATAAAGCATATTTCACTCTATTTCTCATGAACAGACAGTTTCAGATAGGGGTTTTATGTTCCTATAAATAAATTTTATTATGTGACAGTAAATTAGTTCATAGTGTAATAAATATGACCCAAATAGGAACTTTATGCAGTAAAAAAATAGTTTATACTAAAGTCGACAAATGGAATGGTGGTCCTAGAAATGCATAGGATAGCTATAAATGGCAGAAATCATATGTTTCTTTAATACCTATAAAAAATATATTTATTTTAAAAATGTCATAATTTATTAATTAATAATTGTGGATTGATGGTTGACTGTAGTGAATAATTAAAAAGAAGATGGTTGTGGTGTTCAGTAAAAAATAAAAACTTATGTTCTTTTATCTCATAATATTTCATTATATTTCTTCGTTAATTCTTTTTTCATTTCTTATGTTACTTAATTTTATTATGTTTAATTCATTAGCCCTTAACTTTGTTGCCATTATTATTTATTTGATAAGTTCCTCTCTATTAATGTTATTATCTTTCTAGTGCCTTATTTTGTTATCCTTATTTTATTTTTATTTTAAGTTTATTCTACCTACATGTCTTTAGACTATACCTTTCAGTTTAAGGCTTTCACCTACATATTATTATTTTCTTTTTAATGTTAATAGTTTCTCATACCAATCCTTATCTGGATTTTTCTTAGCCCTGATGAATGCTTGAACTTTGGGCCTGAAACGTCAGCAAAAATAAAAATAAAAATCATTTATTTATTTTTGATTAAATACCCCAACTATCTCCTCTTTAATTAATAAATAATAAATGAGACACTCTTTTTATTCCAAAATCAATAAAAGTTTTTGCTAACAATAAAAAATCTTTATTAAATTACATCACATTTTTTATTTATTTGTAACATTTCAGACTTATTTTAGCCATTTTTATATTTGGCCTTATATCTAAGGTATACATCAGTTTTAAAATTTGACATAAATCTTTTTTTTTTCTCAATAATTTTATTGATTGTATTTTTATTCTTAAGAAACAGAAGGATTCTTTAAATATAGATTGTTATTGAATACATATTTTATGCCTTAAAATTAAGTCAAACAACATATGAAAATTTGGATTCAAACAAAAATATATATTTTAGTTTTATCTAGGTTATATAATATATAATAAAACAAATGAGCAACCTAAGAAAAGGTGAAAATCAAAACAATACAAAAATGATTTTATTTTGTAAACAGTTTGAATTTTCGATAGTTTAATACCAGAATCGAAGCACCAGAGTTCAAACGCAATCATGTAGATTTAATAAAACAGCCAATATTGTTTCATTATTCACAGCAATAAATTATGAAAGGTCCTATCAATAATTCTAAAGGGTATTAAAGTAACCAATGGCTGCGGTAATATCTTCTCTAAAAGGAGGAGATCAAAGCGGATATTTTTCATATTTTATGATTTTGACCTGTTGAGCATTGATTGGCTGGTCGGTTCTGATAAGTGCTTCCTAAATCAAATTTTAACTGTTTCCTTTAGAGATTGAATATTTTTATAGCCTTCACTATAAAACTATTAACGATAAGACAGTCCATAAAATTATTCATCTGGATGAGGAAGAGAAAATTTTTTGATAGTAAACATTTATTTTAATTTAAATCACAAGTTTCATTCTATCTTAGGTCAGAAAATCTAATATTTTTTTAGGTAGTATTAGAAGGTTTTGTATATTTTTTAAATGTTCAAGTGCATACTATTCAACAGTCTCTTATTTAATATATTTTGGACAGATAGATGGATAGATAGAAACTAAACTTTATTCTGGGACAAAGTCTATTAACAATAACAAGCACAAATAAACAAAAAGCATATCTTGCCAAAAACTACTTTTATAAAAATTCAAATAATGTATTAAAAACTGAAAATAAAATCTTCTCACGAATAAATCTAATTAGTAGGCCCGTGCGAAAAATTTGGACAGTGTATTGTTCTGTGATCAAGATACAAATTAATAAGAAAAGAAAATAATGCAACTCATCATAAGATAGATAAATAAATTGTTACTTTCTCACTAAATATAATCAACAAAGGAAATAAAAATTAATTTAAAATTTCATTAATGTTTTGAACCAACATGTTTACAAATTTCAATAAGCTGTACTTTCTCTAATAATTATCTGATTTCAATGATTTTTCCCTTTAGTAGGGAATTTAGTAATCTTTTATATAATCATAGACATAACCAAGATGAAAGTGTGTAATTTTTTAGTTATTCGCAAATAAAGTTTTTATTTTTCATAACTTTTTTGCCTGAATTTTCGGGGTGATTGGACTATTTTTCTCTCCTGAAGGGGAAGGAAACCTTCAAAATTGGTGGCTCAATCTTGCTATTTGATGAAGAATCAATGATGATATGGCTTACTGAAAAAAAAACACCTTTGATAAACAATATAAACTCCTCCTCTCTCGATCATAGGGACCTGAAATTGATGAAATGAGGCATGCATTCCACAACAGTACTACAATTAACATAAGCTTATGTGGATGCAAATCCTTTGCTTTGCATTATCTTGAAAATAGTATGTTTTTGGGCTTGAAAACACAGCCTTCCTTCAGAACTTTCTGGGTTGCATCAAAATCTTCAAATGCCCAATTTGCCCCATATCGATCTACAGACTTACCATCATTCCAGTATTGAATGAAGCCTAGCAAAATGTTTGTATTGACTTTATTTAATTTAGAAAGAAAAACAAAAGCAGGGAGAGAACAAAATTCATTAACCTCCCCCCCCCCCATGAAATTCTGAATCCAATGGTATCCCATTCATGGTATTTGAGCTTGACAGGAGCTTATATTTGGTACAGCAAGCAGCAATCCTCTCTATTACTGATGTGAATAAATGTCTGTCGAGTGCTATCTTGGAGTGAAAATCCCTTCTCTACGATCTAACACTCCGAGGCACCAATGTGGTCCTACAGTACATTCCGAGCCATTGCAGTATTTCAGGAAATGAGGAAGCGGATAGTCTCGCCAGGAGAGGAGCAGAATTGCTTCCATCCAAAATCTTCCAACAGTCTATCCAAAATCTTACGATTCAATTCGACAAATGGTGAGGATGGTAGTGAAGGAAGAAATTGAAAAAATGCACAAAGACAAGGTGGAAGGGAAACGTTATGGATGTTTGGTGGAAAACCCGGTCCCAGCAGACCTTCCAAGAAGAGATGCAGTAGCCTGCTTCCGCCTGGCCACTGGTCACGACTATCTACAAAGTCATCTCCACAAGAGAGGCCTGCCTGAGGATCTTAGGTGTAACTTATGTGAACAAGCAAAAATGGATGCAGACCACCTAATCAAATGTCCTGCTTTGACGGATATAAGAAATAAAACATATGTGAATGATTATATAAAAAAATCAAACTTATACTGGGCAGCAAGATGTCAGATGGTCAAATGACTAATGACTATGCATAAGATAAAAAAAAAAAATATTTGGTACAAAATATATTTTGATCCTTACTGTAATAATATATGTGGGGATTGTAATGAAACAAAATGTAATAAATAAAACACTTACTGCAAAAAACTAACACTTACTTAATTGATTTTTTTTTAAATTATAATTGCCTCTACCCTAGAGGGTCTTTGCTGGTAAGTATTTTTATTCTATTATAATACTTAGTTTCTACTAAGTATTTGAATAGAGTAGTGACTCTATCTTCATTATCTCCCAATATTTCCTTCATTGTCGTTAATAATTTTAGTTTTTGTCTGATATGTTTAAACTGTTGACACTAATAGTAAATTTCATTTTCATAAAATAGTAATCCTATTGAATGGAGTAGATATCTTTAGTCAACCAATGATATTTTTTTAGTCATAGTATTATTAAAATAAAATTTTGTTATGTTCAAACTAAAGAAGCTACATAATAATTTAAAATGTTTAGTGATATTTGCACCAATAAATATCAATTTTATTCTAAGTATATAACTAGAAGTTTTTTAAAGTGTTTCAAGTTTCTAACCAACAATTTTTTTTTTTTTTTTTATTTATCTTTATCCATTAATTAATTTAAAATATTCTGTGCAGATCCTTTTGAACCTTGCGAGGTCAATATTCGAAGAACAGAGCAACCTTGAGAGGCTTGTTACTAAGATAATGACAGAAGCACGAGACCTGCTAAAGTGTGAAAGTTGTGCAGTATTCTTACTAGACACGCACTGTTGTGAAGCTGTAAGTATAGATAATCTAAAATTTATTTAAGTCAAGACCATAAATAACTAGTGGAAAAATCAAGTATGAAACTGTCAACAGGCGCTAGTGTATATATGAATAGATAATGTATATAGTGTATATATGAATAGATAATGTATATAGTGTATATATGAATAGATAATGTCACGCCTGAATCAGTGATTAATGTATCTAAAATTATTATTATCCCTAACATTCATTTTATTCCAAATACATTAATATAATATGAAATTTATTAATTTTTTCATAAAATCTTCCAAATTTTCAAGGTCATTTTTAATTCATTAATAAATATAATAATTTCAAAGGAATAACTTTATTGAACCCTTTCACCTCCTTTTCATGCTTCAATTCATTTTTATTTTTTTCAGGCAATTTTGCCAATTTTCAATTTGAAATCTTTATCTATAATATTACAATACGTTAATCACAAATATATATGTAAAATATGTAACAGCACATACAAGAATGCTATAAAATTCCAAAAAGTCATCTTAATTAATAAAATCTCTACTTACATTCTTATCTTATTCTCTATGTTATATTATTTTTTATAACAAGTATCTTGAATCTATCTATATAACTAAAAATATTAAAAATTTGGTTAATTTCAAAACGGATATTAAGCGGATTGGGCAACATTATGTAGACATAATTACTAAATTAGAATTTTAATTTAATTAAAGTAATTTAAATAATCATTTCAGCAAAATTATTATTAATAATATGAAACTTGAAGTATTAAAATAATGCAGTACTCTTAATTCCAAAGGGCATAATAATATGTAAGCGAACAGCTCACAGTGGACATAAGGCTATTATACATATACATAGCATTGGATGGAAATTTATAAAAAATGTTTAATTGGTGTGATGTATCCAAAGGTAATTTACAAAATAATGGAATTTGGCCTTTTCTTATTTAAGATGTATTGTAAATTTCAGTATTTATATTTTAATTTTAGAATTGAATTTTCATAAATAGTTATGAAATTATCAGCAGAAGAATGTGAGAATAAGAAAGGAAGAATAAGAAATTATAACAATTATATAAAAAATTATGTTACATAGAGTATAAGATAAGGATGTAAGTAGAGATTTTATTCATTAAGTTAACTTTTTGGAATTTTATAGTGTTATTGTATGTGCTGTTACATCTTTTACATATAGATATTTGTGATTAATGTATTGTAATAATATAGATAAAGAGTTTGACTTGAAAATGGGCAAAATTGCCTGAAACATCGTCAAAAAAAAAAAAATGAATTGAAGCATTAAAATGAGATGAAAGGGTTCAATAAAGTTATATCCTTGAAATTATTATATTTATTAATGAAATTTATCAAGTATTTATGTATTGATACTTCATAAATAAACATATTTCATATTTATTAGAAATAGAGAGGGCATCTAAGATAAGGTTACCACTTAGGTGGTGATTTGAATAATTTGTCATTTTCTTACTTTCTAGATTCTTCTTGAGAGCCTAGTTGTAAAGACAACATTATCTATTTGTGAAAGAAAACCTCTATGTAGGAGAGAAGTAAGTATATTAAATTTATTTTAACAATTATTCAGTAGCTCTCGATTTTTTTCTTATAGCAAGAATATTATAATGTTAATGTTTTATTTTAATTCTTATAATACTAATAATATTATCATATCATTATTATTATTATTATTATTATTATTATTTTGATAATATTTTTTCTTTTATAATAATATTATTATAAAACATTCACGTCAGTGAAACAGAAACAGTTTTTAAGCATATTGAAACTATTTATTTTGATATTCATCAGTTCTTTTATTTATGATTTTAAATGTTACATTTATTTTTCTAGAGTAATAATGTGAATGTTGATGAAATCTTGTCCCCAAAAGAAGTATCTAATGTAAGTATAATCACTAATCAAAAGTTTGTTTAATATTAAAACTTTAAGATTTTCACATTCCTTTGAATTATCAATCACTTTATACAAAGCGTTTATTTGTGTTTAAATTACACTTTATTGTATCCTTTTCACTTGACTTTTATTCTACAATATAAAAATAAAATATATAAAATTAATGGAGCTTTAAACTGTACTCATAGTTAATGGATACATTGTTACAATAAGTCCAACTAGGGTCCACTCCTATATTTAATGCACTTTTTTTTTTCTATATTGTACTCGTGTAGTAGAAAATGAATAAACTGCGCCTTAAGGTAATAAGCAGAATTAGATTTTTTAAATTTCTTACATTTTTTACTCACAGAAAATGTATCCATACTATTTGTATTGAAGGTCTCCACATGTTGAAAATTGTAAACTCTAGAATCAAAATATGTCTATTTCATTAATTAACTAATATTAATTTTTTCTTAATCTATTATTATATAAATTTAATTGTTTTTCTGCTAGTTTAAGTTTACGACAGTCTTTGAGCTGAGATCTGCCTCTCAAAAAGCCGATGTTTATAATCCAACACAGAGTGACCTAGGGAAATCTAAGCTAGCACAGATCGCAAAATATGTTGCAACAACCGGGCAGGTAATTTAATAAAAATATGATTTTATAAAAATTAATATTACTTATTAATAATTTTAAAAATCTTATCTTACCAGTATTTATTATTTAATGTTGATCTTATCAATTTATTAATAAGTGGTTCCTTGCATTTCCAAAAAAATCAACACTACCATATTGCTATCTAAAGAACTGACTTTTTTTTTTCTCTTCTTCCTCGCCTATCGGCTATAAGGAGTTTTTCTCAGGCCAGAAGATAAGGCAAGACCATTAATGCGAGAGTCAAAAGTCTCCCAGCACCTGGATTCAAAATCATAATCTTCGGTTTACCAGAGATTTTTAGCCCGCTTAGCCGTCCTATCCTCTATTATAAAACTGATTTATATGACTTTAAATTCTACAAATTGGGTAAACAGATAATTAATAAATAAATTTAATTTTAGATCTTGAACATAGGAGATGTTTCCTCTTGGATGAATGAAGATGTTACAGGGAAAGGAGACAGTGTTGTCGCTAGATGTATTTTATGCATGCCAATCATTAATGGCCAAAAGCAAGTTATAGGAGTTGCACAGTTAATCAATAAGGTAACACTTATTTATTTTTGGGAACTTCGATCCTTTTCTGTGCAATCATTATGTATTCAAAGACAATCCTAAATTAATTTTCTCAAACTTATAATTAAATGGTAATCAATAATAATAATATATGTTTATAATATATGATAAATCTTAGATTTGATCATAGCTAGTTAATTTTAAAAAATAATGATTAATTCTACTCAGTCCTAATTAAGTATTAAAATCATTATTAATTAGATGGAATGCTTTTTCTATCTGGTTGATTTTTTATGATTAAACATGATAATGATGGGATTAATCTTTATTTTTATGGACAATGAGCTCTTACATATACATGTTTGGTAAAATAAATATTTCTGGATGCATAATATCTAAAATTAATTCAGATCTTTGTTAATTATCTTTTATTTAAAAAAACAAGGCACTTCAATGATTTGTAAGTTATTAGTATCAATGTGAAACTGTACAATATATTTTGATTTAGGGTTATTTTATTTATGCCTAAATTTTATGCAAAACAATTAATTGTCAATTTTTTTTCTAATTGATAGTATGTCATTTGTTAGTATTTACTATTTAACAAAAAAATGTCTCAATAGTTTTATGTTCTCTCATGAAAAGTTGAGATTTGACAGTTTCGCAGTTATCCGATTGAAACCTTGAATATACTTTAATAAATCATCTTTACAATCAGTTCTCATTTTATGTTTCAATAAATATTAGTTAATTATAAACTGCTTTTACCTAATTCCCAGAATTATCTTCTCTAGGAAACAGGGCAACCATTTACTGAAAATGATGTATCTATTTTCGAAGCATTTGCAATTTTCTGTGGTCTTGGTATTCACAATACCCAGATGTATGAAAATGCATGTAAGTATTTTCATTTATGTTTAAAATTTAATTTTATTATGTTTTATCGAAGTTTATTTTAATGTTAAATTGTTGGTTACAATTGAGTTTCTAGTTTGACTTGAGACTTGAAATGGGAAAAACAGAATAAGAAACATTATGTATAATAAGATTGGCCAAGTCGCAAGTTATACCAAACTCACCATTAACTATTTGACATCAAATGTGCCTCAGGTACAATCGAGATACTTTCTGCAAAAAAGCAATAATTTTCTGCAAAAACTTTCTGCAAATAATTTAGGTAATATTTAGATAGACAGAAAAAAGCTTTATTCTGGTAATTCCTTTTAGAATTACAAAATTGTACAAAAAAATGACTACTAGTGGCCTAAAAATTTGAAATAATAAATAATTTTATTAAAAAGTATAGAAAACCTTAAGTAAACAAGCTATATACAAAACCAATAAAGCTATGAACAAAACACTTAAAACCATATAATAGTAGAACAGCATAAATATACACTTCAATAAAAGAAGAAAGAAAAAATAATGACATACATTAAATTCTTCTCATAAGTAAGCTGTAAGTTTCAACTAAGAAAAATTAAAGCTGCATCTGTCAATATAAACCTAATTATTTAAATGCTGGATAATGTGTAAATACATCATAAGAAGATCATTATCACCTGTTAATACGTGTAATAGTGTCATTATATATAAGAAAAATATTAGTAATATTTAAAAAAAATAAAAGAAATAGATGTATTGAGTGGCATCAAAAGTAGGAAATTTATGTAATATTTCTATCTAAGAACAGCATTGTTATACTGATGATAAATTATATGAAATACATGTGCAATGTCAATAGTTCGCAGGCATCTGACTTTTTTGGGACAGGAATCGGAATAGGAGATTTATTATTTATTTATTTATTTTACAAAATAATCTAGTTATCTTTTCTCTTGTATTTTTTATCCAAATAAGATAAAAGTACTTGAAAGAGGCCGTAAAAGTTTTTAAAAAATTATAAAAATCAAGTTAAATTTTAGAAATGAAGGATGAGAGACAAAATCTAGGAGTCTTGCAAAATAATAAATTAGACATTAATAATAAACAAATAGATCTAATTAACAATATACATTGGTCAAATATATAAATTTTAATTTCAAAAACAATTTCAATATTATAATAATATTTCAATATTTCTATATATATATTAATATTTCTATATATAATACATATTTTCTATATTCTATAATATATATTTTGAATATTTCTATATATAATATATATTTCTATATATAATAATATTTCAATATAGATTTTAATTTCAAATATAATATAATGGTACAATTTCAAATACAATACAATGGTATACATATACATTAGTCAAATTAGACATTATTTTTATTTTGTTTGTTGAATTTATTTTTTCTCATTCATGTATAATTAATGTTTAACAATAAATCAATAGATAAAAAAAAAAAAAAATACCTGTTTTTTCCCTGAACCCTCACATAATATTTTTGGTTTATTATTTTTTATTATGATCCTCCTACCTCGATACACGGGCAGATCTACGGGGGGGCTTTCGGGCTGAAGCCCCCCCTCCAAAATGGTAAAATATAACCATTTTTTATGGAAAAAAATATTTAAAAAATATCTCTTAAAGTATTATTGTTTGTGTAATTACATTTAAAATGACTTAAGGAATTACTTAAACATCATTTCATATAGATAGCTAGTTTCTTTCTTTTTTCCAAAGTAAATATCGTCATTTTTATGAAAAAAAAGCTTTCGGGCTGAAGCCCCCCCAAAATTAAATCCTGGATCCGCTAGTGCCTCGATATTACTATCCGGCCTTTCCTTCCAAGATGGTGGCCGAAAAACCTGTGTTGGTATAGATGGTAGCGCCTAAGCAAACGTACCAATTTCAACGAAAATTGGCTAAAGTCTTCTCTATGTAGACCTTAAAATTTATGTATATAACATACTTCAACGGAAAAAAAGTTATGAGGGGGGGGTAAAATTAAATTTCCGAATAACTCAAGAAGTATACACTTTTTTGTCAATGTTGTATATGGTTATTTAAAAGTTCACGAATTTTACCAAAAAAACAAACAAAAAAATAGTTGAAATCATACAATTTGGATTAAAGATGTGTTGTTCTAAAATTGTTTTATATGTTCTACTACAAAGCTTATATCTTTTGTTTTTGATTTTTTGAAAGTTTTACATTAATTGTTGCAATGTTGTCTATTTTTTTATGCAAATAATCACTGATAAAAAAGAAAACTACATAGGCCAATGTTGGGAATCTCTTTTTATTATTTTCTTTAATTTTTTGGGTTTTTTCCTTTCAGCGGCCCAAGACTCCCACTGAAATCCTGGAAAGAAATGTTAATTTTTTTGGAAATAACAAACCATTGTATAATAATTTTCTGCATTTCTTTCTTTCTTTCTTTTTTTTTTTTTTTTTTTTTTGACAGGCGTACAAAACAAAGGAAAAAGACGAATTTAAGAATTTTTCATTGTTCATAAAGAAAAAAAATTATAGACACAACAACATTGAAAAATTCTATTAATTCATGTTAAAAAAAGGCTGTGAAGGCTGAAAGCATTATGGCTTCACTTCAGCAATCTCAAGTCAAGCAATAAAGGTTTGGGTCTGGCCTGGATGGATTGAAATTTATTTTGTGAAGAACCCTTCACATGTATCTCTGCCTCCTCAATATAGATTGGTTACATTTTGATGGAAGATTATAATACTAAATAAACAATTTATATTAATATTTAATATATACCTTTATGTAATGTGTCAATCATATTTTTTTAAAATTATTTTAAAGGTAAATTAATGGCTAAACAGAAAGTTGCCCTGGAATGTCTTTCTTATCACGCCACTGCTTCGATAGATGACACTACAAAACTTATCAAAGACAATATACCCTCTGCAGAAAAGTACAATCTTTACAGGTATAGTTGAAATACTTTGATAAATATAGATTTATATATAGACTTAAATTAAACATTATTATTTCAATCTTTTTTTATTTATGGCCTCAAGATTTTACACAAAATCCTATTTTGTATTTCAAAATTATATATATATATATATATATATATATATATATATATATATATATATATATATATATATATATATATATATATATATAGAGAGAGAGAGAGAGAGAGAGAGAGAGAGTGAGAGAGAGAGAGAGAGAGAGAGAGAGAGAGAGAGAGAGAGAGAGAGAGAGAGAGAGAGAGAGATGTTTCAAAAGTGATCATAGTAATTTAAAAAAATAATTTTCAAGTTTGTATAAAGTCTCTCAAATACATTGCCAAATAGAAAGAATCTTCCCACCACTCATTAACTACATATTTATTTGCAGAAGAATCAGAAAGAAACAGACTTAAAGATATAGAAAATAGCATTTTCAAACAAGTAATTTAACAAGGCAATAACTAAAATAATCATGGATATGAACATAATAATACCCATCCCAGAATTAAAAATACTGCTTTGGAAAAAGATAGACCCGTGATTAATAAATCCATGACTAAAATTGCAAAAAACATATTCAATTGAAATACAAGAATCTTTTTTAAAACTGACAAAACAGTATACAAATTTCGATTTTATACATACGGATGCATCCAAGGAATGAAATAGTATAGGATGTGCTCTAGCGAGTAAAGAGAACAACCTACTGTTTAAATTATCTGGAGAATGCTCTATATTCGCAGGAGAGGCGACTGCCATCATGAATGCTTTATATCTTATAAGTGAATCTAAAAAGAATTACTGGTTAGTTGTGATGAACTCATACAGTGTTTTAACTGCCATCGATAACCCATACTCTAGAAATTCTATAATTAGAGAAATACTTAACATTTGGTGGGGGATAAAAAATAAAGGAATATCAGTTATCTTGATATGGGTACCAGCTCATTGCCGAATTTTATGGAATGAAAAAGCTGACCATTTAGCAAGAAGAGGAGGAGAAGAAGAGGCAGTGACTAGATTGAATTATATTACTTTAGAAGACTGGGTATACCAAACAAAGAAAAAACAACTGGCAGAGTGGAAAAAGATTGGAAAATCAAAGAGTTTAAGCTGAAAGAAGTGAAATCTAACTGCGATAAATGGCTCACTAGCACTAGAACTTTCAGGCGTGAAGAAATTATACCGTGCCGTCTTAGGATTGGGCACTGCCAGTTCACACATAGCTATCTTTTAAGAGGTTTAGAAGCTACTGCTTACAAAAAATGCAATAATACACCTTAAACTGTGAAAAACATGGTAAAATGTCCCCAATTCAAAAGTCACAGAATAAAAATAGATCTAGGAAAAACACTCAGAGATATTCTACAAGATAATGAAGCGAGTCTCTATCGTGTTTAAATTTTTAAAGATTATAAGTTACTATAAAAGAATATAAATTATAGAAAACGCCAATGACCCTTTAGGATACAGGTGAGAAAAAGAGGAAAAATTAATAAACAAATTCATATAAATTAAATCAAAGCAGTTACAATTACAAAGTTGCAATTATTTGGTGTTTCAGGCAGAATATACTAAAGCCAGTTACAATATATCTTATGTTAAAGATATCTGTTTGTTATCAGCACAAAAAATAATGCATTAAATGGCATATGAAGCAAAAATTGTTTATTGATGACCTAACTTCCTTTAGTATTGGTAGTTAAATAATTTGAAATATCAATTTTTCAGTTGCATTTTTTCTATCTACTTAATTTAAAATATGATTTTTATTTGTAAATAGGTATTATTAAATGATTTTATTTCTAGTAATTTTTTTTTTCAGTTTCAAGTTCATTGATTTTGATCTTAATGACGAGGACACTTGCAAAGCAACGATTAGGATGTTTCTGCAGTGTAGCCTTGTGGAACAGTTTCACATACCTTATGATGTTAGCTAATATAAACAATTTTTATATTTTATTATATTATTGGATACAATAAATATTAAACAAATATATCTTATTTAGGTCCTTTGTCGGTGGGTATTGAGTGTGAAAAAAAATTATAGGCCAGTTAAGTACCATAATTGGAGACATGCGTTGAACGTAGCTCAGACCATGTTTGCTATGCTCAAAACAGGGAAGATGGAAAGGTTCATGACTGACCTAGAGGTATTTTTTTTTTAATCTTATAATTGTTTATGAAACATATCATTGATATAAATTAATCTTGCTAAAATTTAAAAAATAAAAAAATCTTATTTCTTTTTGGCTTGTTTCTATGAAAATGACTAATTCTAAAATGAACCACAATTTTTTTATCAGAACAAAAACACACAGAATTTGATAATTGCCTATTTTTCAAATCCCATTAGAGAATGAATAATTTTAATCCAAAGAATTTTTTTATGTTATACTTGGAATATGTCCTTAAATATTTCCTTCAACAGATATTGGGTCTTCTCGTTGCTTGTCTATGCCATGATCTGGATCATCGAGGTACTAATAATGCATTCCAGACTAAAACTGAATCACCATTAGCAATATTATACACAACTAGTACAATGGAGCATCATCACTTTGATCAGTGCGTGATGATATTGAACAGCGAGGGTAATAATATTTTTCAGGTATGCAGATTTTTTTTCATTTCCTCATTGATAATGTAAATATTTACTTATTTTGTTTTCCACCATTTTCTGTCTATAACGTAATATGGAGGTTTTCATTACTGGGTGTTAAATATGCCTATGTAATAATCCACTGCTGCAAGTAAACTTTAAACTTTGTTTTTTCTTATGTGTCCAAATTCTAAGTAGGGTTTTGAGTAGAAGAAACTGGGAAGGACCACAGAAGAAATCATTTGTAAATTTGTCAAACAGAAACAAATTAATTATGTATGCTAATGATTTTTATTTTTTTAATAAAGGGTCATTTGAACTCAGCTATATTCAGTGGAAGAAGCAAACGTAATATTCACACCAGCAATGAGCATAAAATAATTTGAGAAAGAACCCAACACAGAACTCGATATTGTTCGTTAGTGATTAGGTTGTTTTGCTAATAATAGAGGAGGAAACACTGTATTTATAGATATAACAATGGGGAAAATACAAATGTATTGATATTTTTCATAGAAATTTACCAGAAAATGATCAAAATTTATGCCTATAAAAACATTCTATTATTTTCAAGAAAATGGCTCAAAGCAGTAGTAGTAAGGCAGTAGTAACACTAAGTATCTACTTTATAATTGCCTTAAAGTGCCAAAAACATTTTATATTAACCTATTAAGAATTTAGTGAAAATTTTAGGTTACTAATGCATTAACACAAAATTAAACACCATTGAACATTGATTAATAGATAAAATTTTAATTGAATATTAGCGGTGATTGAAAACCATTCTTCAATCAAGGACTATCATAAGAAAATATTAATAATGTTAATAATAATAATAAGGCTTAGCGAACCCGAAGGTTCGATGCCGACACCACCAATCGCTTGTTACACACCTCCCTCCACCGTTCGCCGTCCAAACCCAGTCCCTTCAGATCGGCTTTAATGCAATCTTCCTACCTTCGCTTCGGTCTTCCCCTCGGACGCTTACCATTCGGCACAGCAAATATTAACCTTTTAGGAATTCTCTCGTTACTAATCCCAACAACTTTACAAGCCCATTTGATTCGCCGCGATGAAATTACCTCAATTATATTACCCGGATACATCTCACGCAATTCGGCGTTGTGTAACCGTCTGAACTCTCCGGTTAACTCATCCTTCTTCGGTCCGAATATTCTACGCAATACTTTATTTTCAAAAACCTTAAGACGCTGCTCATCCCTTAATGTAAGCGGCCAAGTTTCGCATCCATAAAGAACTGTAGGCAAGATAATTGTTTTATAGATTCTAATTTTTAAGTTTCGGGACAAGAGGCGCGAACTAAGTAGTTTTGTCACAGAAAAATAACAAGCATTCCCCACCTTCAGTCTAACCTTAATCTCTTCTTCAATTTCGTTTTTTCTAGTTATCGTAGAACCTAGATACCTAAATTTATCTACCTGTTCAAACATATTACCATCTATATCGATATCACCAGTAGTATCGCCATTTTTGCAGCTAACCATATATTTTGTTTTATCCACGTTTATTTCGAGTCCTAGTTCTTTACCGGCTTTCATTAACGTTGTCGTATTTAGTTTTATAGTTTCAACGTCTTCGCTTAACAGTACCAGATCATCAGCATAGCCCAGCACGGATGTTGTCCAGCCCAGATCCAACCCTTTCTCGGTTCGCATTACCTCCCTAATGGCATGTTCTAATGCCAAATTGAACAGGACAGGCGAAAGAGAATCCCCCTGTTTTAAGCCCGAACGAACCTCAAATTTTTCGGACAAATTATTACCGATTCTAACTTTATTGAGTGTCTCCGTCAAGCACATCCTGACTAGATTTACTAGTTTTTTTGGAATCCCCTGCTCGATTAGATTAATAATGTTAAATGATCAAAAATATGCAACAGTTGGAAAGTTTGTAAATCATTAATTTATGAGCTTTATACAACTGTTATTGAGTCAATAACTCAGTATTATACTTTAATTTTTGAAAAGTAGCTTATCATATTAAAATACGATTCCAAAAATATATCAATACATGACATTTCTTTCATTTTATTTCAATTTATAAGACTCAACTTAAATTGAATACAAAAATAGGAAAAATACTAAATTCTCATTTAATATTTCATATTTTATTTCTTCTTTAATAATCTATAAACTATAATTTAAAATATATTCAAGTTTGAATTTATATAAATTATTAGAAAACAATATTTTATTTATTATTCATTTATTTATTAGCTGACAACATATTTTGTCACCGAACATAAAACAACAGAATACTTAATCAATTGCAGTAATTAATAATTTTAAAAGAAGTTAGTTTTAAAAGTTCTCAAAAGAGAGCAGCACAAATCAAGAAAGTTGAAAAATAATAGTTTGAAACAACGCTTAAAGAGCGCAGCACTATCCAAACAAATACTTTCAAGTGGAATTGCAAGTGAATATTTTTCAATTTGTATTAGGACAGTAGGAGATTAAAGGAGCTCAACTGGTGGAGCTCATGCTTCAGCCTAAAAGTGCTACGCTCTAGTGGCAGTCAGAGGAACTATAGTAGTTGTAAAACTAGCCGCAAGGTAGTAGCACCCGAGCATACCCCAGCTTGAGCTCCACTAGTTAAGCTCCTACGACCTCCTGTTATCCTAATACAAAATGAAAAATATTCAGTCGGAATTTGACTCGGGAATATTTGTCAGGACAGTGCTGACCTCTATAAGCTTAAAGTTGAACTATTATTTTTTTTCACGTTCCTTGATTAGTGCTGCTATCTTTTGAAAACATTTAAAACTATTTTTTTTTTAAATTAATATAATAATTACAGTAATTGACTACGTATTCAATTGAGTTGAAGCAGGCAAATCATATATTGCCAATTGCAAATTATATATTTTCCAATAATTTAAATAAATTTGAGCAAATGTATTTTAAATTATTATTTATTATGTATTCCATAGGTTACTAAGAAATAACAGGTAAATTAGTGAAATGTAAAAGAATAATAAGTTGTCATTTAAAATATATTATTTGCTCATCCTGCGATAATATATAAATAAATTTAAAGATAAAATAATTTGACTAGTCCATAATGGTGAGTGTTCTGTTGATTTAACAGAAACTTCAAATTTCAAATAAAATATGACTAAATTGTCGCTTAAACATTACACTGTTTTAATTGAAAATTATTTCAATAGATTAATATAGTTAGGCCTTCAATCTTTTTTAAATGATCTTTGCAACCTAAATAATAAATACCAATAATTAAAAAGAAATAAACTAAGAGAAATAAAAAATCATTAATTTTAGAAGGCTACCACTTTGGGCTAATCAGAAATTATTTATATCATCTATCAAGGTGAAAAAAGAAAGTAAGTTAAAAAAACAAATTTTACTGGCAATTTAGTCATGTAGGAATGATTTCTTGATTAAAAATATTTATTTACTGCTCGTTATGAATAAATTTTTACCAAATTCAGATAATGATACATATTTATATATTAAAGTTTCACAATATTGGTTAATTATTAGTCATTTAATAAATGAAATACACTCGTTATTCCTTAGAAATTCCATCATTCTTTCCCCACCCTGAGATTCATAAAACAAAAAATTATCCATATATGTTTTTGTTATTAATTTCATTATTTTTAGTACAGTAATATGGAGCAGTAGTCTAATCTTGTATCTCATTCTAGTTATCATTTTTTTCATTAATTGTGTTGATGCTTTACTTATGTTCTGTGTAGGCTCTTTCACCTGACGATTATAGGTACGTTATGAAAGTAGTGGAGCAATCGATTCTGTCCACAGATCTTGCAATGTACTTTAAAAAGAAGAATAGTTTTATGGAATTGATAGAAAATGGCGAATTCGACTTCCAAAGTGAAGGGAAAAAAGAATGTAAATTAAATATTTTTATATAATCTTATTGATTATTTTCTAATCTAAGTTAAAATACTTTTATACTTATTACTTTTTAATTTTAGTGCTTTGCGGAATGATGATGACAGCATGTGACGTAGGTGCTATAGCAAAGCCATGGGAAGTCCAACATAAAGTTGCAAAGCTAGTTGCTGATGAATTCTTTGATCAGGGTGATCTCGAAAAACTTCAACTTAATACTCAACCAATCGTAAGTTAAAAATTGTGTTTTGTGTTTTCTTTTGAAACATAGGGAGTAATATTGTAGAAATACATTAAATAAGGCTAAGTATTATAAATTCTTGCACCTTCCAATGCTTTTGTTGCCTGATTCAGTGATCAGTTTATCAAAGTTTAAAGGCACTGGATATATATATATATATATATATATATATACAATGTTTCATAAATTCAATACAGATTTTCCTGCTCTTATCTGAAATATAAACTTTGACCTAAGATAGATACTTAATGTTACTTCACATGATTTTTTCGAAACAGGTTTTCTTTGTGACAATTTCTGTTATTTTTTATTCAGAATTATTGTTATAAAATTCTTAGTGTAATCAAACATTGTAATTATTTTTATTTAAACAATTGTATAATATGTTATATTTGCCTGACAACAGTTTTAGTATAAATGGTTTTGAGGCACCTCCTAATAAGAATATTTATAATTTTAATGACTTATATTCTATAACGGGCAGTGGGATATAGTGCCATACTATTTCTCTAGAATACTGCACTTCAAGGACTTTTTCAGATCTTATTTATTTATTTTTGTTTTATGTTTTACATCTTTATACATGTATTTATTTATCCTAAATTTACTTATTAAAGGCTATGATGGACAGAGAAAGAAAAGACGAATTACCTCAAATGCAAGTTGGTTTTATAGATGTCATATGTCTTCCATTGTACAAGGTAAATTTTTTTTCTCCAAAAATATCATTTGTATATGTAAAATAGATTAACACAATTGATACCTTAAATAAATCTATATAAAAAAAAATTATGATGGTTTAAAAAATCATATGTAAACAGGTTCTTTCTGAAACATTTCCTTGGATAAAACCACTTTATGAGGGAACTTTGGAAAATCGCAAACACTGGCAAGATCTTGCAGAGAAAGTAGAAATGGGTCTAACGTGGATAGACCATGATACAATTGAAAAACCAATAGAAGAGTTTACTGGTGATGAAGATGCAAAAGAGATTGAATTCACTGTTACAACTCTCAACTGCGAAAAGAAAGTTAGTTTCAACTATCTATTATTTAGCAGCACTTAGTATTATAATTTCTCCATAAAATGTCAACGGAGGATTAACAGATACACTTTCCCTGACTAGATTTTGCTTTGATACTAAAAATAAATAAAAATAGTAAACAAACTAATAAAAAATAAGACCAAATATGTATAAGAATTTTTCCAATCCACATTGAAAAAGAGTTTTAAAAAGTGTTAGAATCGACCAAATTATTCTTAAAACTGCATCATAATTTAGTAGTCATTCCAATTGTGTAATGGGCTAGTCTAAAGATGTAATAATTATAAACAAAAGTAATCTTGATCAACTAAATATTATTTTATTTAGAAACAACTGAACCATTGAAAGATTACTCCTATTTTTTTTCTGTTTTTTTACTTGCCTTCAGCTGATCTAGGCAATGAAATTCTTTGTTTCTGGTCACTAATTCATTCATATATTCAGCTCTGTAAATTCTTGCTGATTTTGATCATGTTCTTGATAATATGGATAATATCATTCATTTTTTTTTTTTTTTTTATAACCTCTTTTTAGTATTTCAATATTTTAAATAGCGGTAGAAGTTTGTGGGGAGGACGGGCAGGATTTCATAAATAATAAATGAAACATACCAATAAGTGAACATATTTTAATTATGTCACGTTTCAGCCTTAGTTTTGGGCTTAAGGATTCATGATTATTTTAGAACATGTGCCCTGATGAAGGCCTAAAATTCAGACTGAAATGTCGACAAACATTAAAACATGTTCATTTATTGGTATGTTTTATTTACAACTGACCATTATCTTCAACCAGCTTCTCTTGCAATTATTTCTGTGGTCAACCATATTTTCATATTTTAAAATGGTTGAATATTGTAATTTATCGTTAGTTATTTTTTCTAATTTTATTGTTTATTTATAATGAATTTTTATTGTTTATTTATTTTTAAATATTACTTTTTGTTTAAGTAGATTCTTTTTTACTTTATATTATTTTTCTTTTATTTATTTATTCTTTTCTGTTTTTAGGTAGTCTAGCAGCCAGTGTATTTTCAAGTGTTGTGATTATTTTAAGAAAACAGTGTTTTAGAATAAATTTTATTAATTACAAACGTATATATTGAATTTATTTCAATTTCATTTTAATTTAACTAGATTTCTTTTATATTAATTATGGCAATACATTAACTGTATTTATTAAAAATAAGAGTATGTACATCATTCTTTAAATAATTTAATAAATATAAATTGGTAGTTCATATTGTAAATGTTTAATTTTTAAAAAGTGGTAATAACTAAGCTAGAAATACATAACACAATTAATTTCATAATATTGTAATTATTTGTACAAAATTTCTTTTTTGTTCTCCATAAATTATTCTATTAGTTCAAACAAAAAATAAAAAATTCACAAATATATCAATAATTTTTTTTGTAATTTTTCTATCCCACTTTGCTGTATTGACAATAAGAACATATGGCAATAATGGTTTATCTATGGAAATGATGGAATGATTTTAGATAACCACTAATATTTATAAAGCCTGGAAGTTTCAAAGAATGGACTTAAAGTGAGTTTCTGAAAATATTAATATTTAGTTGATGAGATCAATTGTATAAATAATTTCAACTTATTTTGTCTTATAATATGCTGCGTAAAAATGAATGATATAGTTTTGCTTATTGGGTTACTACCTCTATATATATAAGAGTTTACCAACTTAATTGAGCTGCTGGGGAAAGCCTATATTTGTTTGATTAATCTATTATGATAGAGGTTTTAAGTTACCTCTCTGCTAATTATTTTAATGCACAAATGACTGTCCAAAATTATGTATAATGAATTGGTTTCTTTAAAACGTTAAACCACGGTTATTTGAGTAACCATATAATTGGACCATATTCAAAAGATTTTTTCCTATATGACGAAGTTCAAAGTTTCCCATTGCTTGACAAAGCTTTATTCCATTGTCTAGAATGGTAATTATAAATTCCATGCTTTAACCCTAATGAAAATCTAATCGATCCATGACAAGAGATATCATCTAAGATAGAGCATTAATGAGTTATTAAAAAATTATAACAGTTTAGTTTCAAAAAGAATAATTATATTGTCATTTCAATGATGCAAAGCAAATTGTTAAAAATTTAGACATTTATGAATTTTTTTCCTTTATTAATTCATAGATTTAAAATTTACATTGTTTCAGAAATGTAGAAGATTAAAGCCATCTGTTTAGTTTTTAATAAGAAATTGGCCTATGTTTTGATTGATTGAATTATATTATGGTAAATGAGAATCAAAGTAGTCATATTAAAATTTTATTTTATTTAAAATAAACTAAATTTCTACTTAAAAGTGTATTGTATTGAATTCTAACAGCAAAATAATTTGCAATAAATTTATTAATATTAAATAAATAATTATTTTAACAGGCAGGAGATGGAGAAGGAACTGGTGTATCCACTCGTCGTGCCAATGGCACAACAATGGGAAGATTTGCATCCCTCAGGAAGAACAGAGCTCTCGGGAAATCGGTTAGAACGAGAATCAGCAGATCCTTGTATGCCAAGTCGTCTTCGGGTTCGATGAACCAAGAGAAGTTAATACAATACATTCTTTCATTTTCTAACTATGTAGTATGATTAAAATCTAAGGTGTCATACAACTAAGAATTCATAGCTGACACTATAAGAATTAATTTTTATTAAAAAAAAAAAAATAATAAAACCTTTACCACTACAACCCATAAAGGGTCTGGGGTTCAGTACTATTTAGGGAAAGCACTGTTTCTAGATCAACGGTTGTGCAAGGAGGTGATTTGACCGAGATCACACTCAACCACCAGATTTTCACCCTTAATTAATTATTTAATTAAGGGTACCCACTTTATAGAGGCTGGGTGTGCCCCAGGATATTATTTAATATAATAATAGTATAATTTTTATTATGTGCCTAATTAGTTCATTAAATTTTAGAAAAGAAGGCAGTGAAGATACTCCTGAGAAGCCTGAAGAAGCGAACAAAACACAATCAGTCGTCCAGCAGAAAACAAAAAGCAAATTATGCTCACTCTTCTGACATTCGAAGACCTCATCTATCCCAGAAACTTAGTAATTATTGCTAAGTGGGATAGAGTTTATAGTCAATCATAAGTCAGTAAACTGGGTCATCTTGCTTATATTTGACATATTATTTTTTTTTCTAATTTTTCTGATATTACCGCATGACAAGTTTTTCTATTATTTTTACCTCTGGTAATTAGCAATCATAAGTAAAGCAAAAAAAAACATTACTCCCAAATTTCTGTAAAAATCAGGAATTTGTAAATGTCTAGGAAATCATGTATGCATGGTGAGTAACAGTTTGATCTAATTATCTGCAAATAGCAGTGTATTGTCAATAAATTCTGCTAAACTAATAAAAGAGTTACCATTTATTGGTTTCTAAAGGGTGTGCTAAAAGTTTTTAATAATAGCACACAAAGATTATGGTGGACAAGGGTAAATAACTTTAAAAAGCTATTACTATTTGTGAACCACATCAAAATTGTTTGATAAGTTTTACAACTACCACTAAAATTGTACGTTATGGTGTCACTACAACTTCTTAAAGAAAATCTTTTCTTTTCATTATTTAGAAACATTTAGTTGGCCAAAACTTTGGCGTAATTTGGTGCTTGGGGAAAACTTCAAGATTGCAGCTCTATTCCTCATGACTCCTGGTAATCTGTTTCCAGCCTGCCCTCATTCCACGATTCACTTACACCACAGGCGGATCTACGGGGGGAGGGAGGAAAGAGGGGCCTTCGGGCTGAAGTCTCCTCCCCTCCCAAATAGTAAAATGTAACCATATTTTATGGAAAAAATTATCTCTTAAAGTATTATTGTTTGTGTAATTACATTTAATAGGACTCGAAGAATCACTTAAACAAAATTTCATATAGGTAGTTAGTATCTTTCTTTTTTTCTCAAATAATTATCGTTATATATATGATAAAAAAATCTTTTGGGCTGAAGCCCTCCCCCCCCCCTCCCACAAAATTAAATCCTGGATTTAATCCAGTTCTGCCAATCAAAAGAATCATGTATAAGGGAAAATATATTATTGGTGAATAACTGTATTGGTTTTTGTCCAATCATTATGAATATTTTCTCCATAAGGAACATGATATGAATAACATGTGATCTTAATCATATTTTCTGAGGCAATAAACAAGCCCCAAGCCTATAAAAGTTAATTTATGGATATATTTTTTTTTAAGAAGTTGTCCTCTCTTTTTATTAAAATCGGTGTTGTAAAAAAATTTATTCAAATCATGTATAGTAGTCATTAAAAATATCACTTTTACAAAATGTTTGATTATTTAAAACATAAAACTCACATCTTGTAAATAAATGAAAGATAATAATTAATAATCAATTTAAATGTTATAGCTAGTTCTTCTGTTGAATAGCTATTCACTAATATTGCAATAGGAAAGTAAATTTATTGCTCATGATTTCCGCTTATTGTCAATGTATAAATAGCAGCAAATATATGATGATACTTAATTTAAATAATATCTAGTCTTTTGTAAATATAAAATATATCAACTGGAGTGATTAATTAATTAATTGGTTATTATTAACAATTATTTGTAAATATTGTTTTATAATTTCATTCCCAGAATGAGATAGTAGTAGTACTTTATTGTATATTCTTTTGTAAAGTTATATATATTACGTGTTAATAATGTATATATATAATATTGTGTCTAATGTTGTTAATTTGTACATTAAATGTTGATTATTTAAATTTTAGGAATGCAAAAGTATATTTTTTATGTGAATTTTTTCAAAACTGGACGGAAAATGTATAGTTTTCACTTAATATTCCACTCGTTAGTTTGACATTTTAAAAAATAAGTAATAATATTATGAGCAGTATTTTTCAGGGATGGGAGTGGTTTAATTTATATTTTAATTATACAAAACAATAAAAGCATTTATAACTATGTAATTGTAATTAATTTAACAATTATATACTTAGGTATAAGATAATTTGAGTACCTCAAAGAAAATAAAGGAGTGAGATTCTTTTAAATAGAGTAGTGTAAAACAGAATCATTTCAAAATTAACGTATGATTATTTCCAATATGAAGTACATAATAGTCATTAAAAACAAAACATTGGATTCTGTATATACTAAGATTATATCTACGTTCTGTACTTATACTACCTAATTTCTAGGCTCTCATATTTCAGCGGGTTGAGTATATTTTAAAATTAAAATACTTTTAGAAAATTTAAAATAAAATCAATTTAATGTTGCAAAAATATAAACAAATTAGTAATTAACGAATATTTTAAAAATAAAATAAATCTCAATGCAATTATCCTTAAAACGCCTAAAATGTGTATGAGATTCCGAAACAGTTAGTTAAAGAATTTTACCAAGGATAATTATCAATTAAAATAATCATTATTTTCACAAATTTTTTGTAACAGTGAAATTTCATCGCAGCAATTAATTTAATTATTAAGAGGTCATCGCTGTCTAAAAATATATTCAAATATTAATATATAAAATAATGAGTTTAGAAATAAAACAAAAAAGGTACTAATTTTTTTTTCTATAAGCATTGTCATATAGAAATCATAGTATAAGTAAAAAACTAATAAAAATCAGAACTAAATATTTAAAAAAACAAAAACAAATTTCAAGTATTCTCTTGTCATAGGAAAGTTCAATTTTTTTTTTTTTAATTTACTGCTTTACCAAGAAGGTTTAATTAGTTTGTTCTAACAAATTTAAAGGTTAAATTTACAGATAATTGATACCATAAAATGTTCATATGTGGGACTGTTCACGCACCACATCATGCATTTCCGATCCTGTTTGCCACTCTTTATCTTAAATAATACAATGTCAAGTTGAATGTGACTCCATATTCTGTCTCCAGGTGTAATTAAATCAAAATTAATTTCAAAACGTAATTAATGCTGTTAAATTTTATTTTAAAAGTTTTTAAAAAAATTCTTAAACCAATTAAGCAAAGAGAAAAATTGTGTGCTTTGTTTCTGCAGTATACTATTAATAATATAGGCACTAAATCTACAAACTTGCCTGCATTTTAGATGAAAACAGAATTACTTTTACAATTCTGTTTTTTTTTTTACATAGATAGTTTGAACTTACCTGTTATAATATTATTTTACCAACTATATGGAAATGAGTTTAATAAAACAAACTCATTGAAAAAAAAATAAGCATATCGGAAGTAGAGTTGCTACTACGATATTGAATCACGCTGTTAAATGAAAACTTTTAAATAAATAAAAAAAAAGATTAATTTTCATAATTTTTGAATAATCAAACAATGGATTTTAAAGTTTAAGTTCAAACAATATATTTTTTTTTAACCTTACAATATTCAAAAATTGCTCAACAAAAGTGAGAAGTATAAAAAATGAAAATTATATTTTTTACAATTATATGATGTATTGATAAAACAAGTAAATAAAATGTTAGGATTACAGACAAAATAAAAATAAATAGCTTGATTTTTCTTTTTTTTTGTCTTTATAATATTTTAAAAAATTGATAGAATTTTTGATTAGGAGAAAAAGTGTTATATAAGATTAACTTAATCAAGTTCTTCCCATCCTTGATATTTTGCAAGTAATATAGTAAACTTCTAATTTGTAACAAAATAATTAAATGGGCCTACTTTTATTTTTTTAATAGACTTATTGCTCCTCCAATCATTTATCGAGAGCATGATTTCGGAATAAGGTATGAAAAGATTATTAGCCTATAAAAGGTGCATTTGAAAAGTCTGAGATTGCTTCTAGTCAAAGGTGTCCCTAGTCCCTTCGGGCTTTAAGCCATGTCGATGTGAGGTGTCAATAATTGTGATGATAGCTATAGAGTTTATAAGTTTTTATGATTTTTATGTTTTTATTTAACACAATTATATAATTATAAGTTTAAAGTAATTTGGCTAGTGTACTTAGTTTTAAAAGTAACATAGTTAAACTACCTTGTTAATTTTATTTATTTATTTTTAATATTGATATGAAGTTATTTCTATTATAATAAAATAATATAATTATTAGTACATTCTCATCATTTTTAGAAATTATCATCATTTTTTTTTTTGTAATGTGGAATAAGTTTGTGAGTGAATATGTGATACATTAAGATATGTTTAGACATTTCACAAACTATGGGAAACTCGGCTAAGCCAAACTTTTTTTTATTTCTCTTGCTACCGACAGCAAATGAAAAACATCAAAAATAAGAAACAAAAACACTAGCATAGGTAAGTGGCCATTTAAATGTTTGTATTTCTTATTGTTTGTGAAATGTCTAAACACACCTTTACACAAAAACTAGAAGGCTAACTAAATATTAATGAATATCTAGATACCAGTTTTGAAAATTTCATTTAATGCATTATTTTACTTTTTACTATTTAAAACGATGAGAAATTACTAATTATTATCAAGACATATTTTTTACAAAATACTAAAATAATTAAGGGGCAGGATATTAAATAAAAATGTATTTAGTTGTAAACATTTTATGCATAACTGTTTCTTATTTTTCAATGAAATGGTTGAAAATTGTCATCATGTACATGATTAATTAATATATTTTAATCCTATTCCTCAAATAAGTTATATTTTTCTAAATATGTATTGAAGAAAAAATTAAATGGTTTAAAACATACAATAAGTAACAATAGAATAATAAATGTTTCTTTAGAAAAAAAAAGAAGTTTTCTTGCATTACAGTATTAAATAATGTGGAAATATTGAGTTATTTAGCTTTTTAGGAAAAAAAAATTGTATATATACATTTGTTTTCTTAACTCAACAAACATGATAATGGTAGTTAAGAATTTGCAATAATGTGTACATGTCTGAGTATTTTAGTATGTTTTATGAGACAATTTGATATGGTTAATAAATTTGTATCATTATTCAATAAATGTATTAATTTATAATGAGAGTTACTTTATCAAACTTTGTTAAAAATACCTGATAATTAAAAGATAACCTCTCTTTTTCACTTATTTAATAACCCATCAATGAAGAGATTAAACCGTTAAAATGAAAAAAATCTAAAGATTATAACAAAATAATGCTTATCAAAACTAAGCCTGGCTTTCTGAAATTTATATTGAGTGAATTATGGTCCAATACTAATACTGTTACAAAACAGGCATTTACTTTGAAGTAATGAATTTTAAAATTGAATGTGAAATTAGAAAGTTAAATTTTACCTGGCCTGAGCCATGATAATATGACTTTGAGTATTATTTGTTTTCACAACCATACATTTCCTAACTAACCTATAGTTAATATTATTATACTTATAATAGAAAAACTTGCATCCCAGTGTTTCAGAATGATGAACTTCAGTCCCTCACAATTTGGTTACATTACATCTACACATGAATAGTAAACATACCAAAGGAATTTATAAGAAACCAAATGTTGATGAAATATATTATTATTAATATCAGTAATACTAAGAAACAATCACTTGAATATTAATAATATTAACATACTGGGCACAATGGCCATATTATCACCATAATTGTAAAACCTCTTAACTCCAAAATGAACAATTTTTTTACTCCCACTTACCTTACTTTAATATCAGGCAGGTATTGCCAGGGGTTAAATGACAAAATTTCTTCCATTGAATTATCCTGATTTTTTTCATTTAAAATAATTAACCGTTTTATTGTAATAAAAAATAGTCATAAAAATAGTGTTGTCAATAATAATAAAAAAATGTTAATTATAAACTATGAATTTTATAATTAACTAAGGGGAAAATAAGTGTTAGTCAGAGATACAAATGGTTAATTTGGAAATAGTTTAGAATGCCCGACTATTCCTGATCCTCCTCCGTTTATAAACTATTCATTTCTTTACATGGTGTTTCTATTGTTATATATTATTAGCTTAACTGTTGGAATATTTTTCTTACATATAATTTTAACAAAACAAATTAATAGGACATTTTGAGAATCTACTTATATCATTATATAAATAGGCATAGGAAAATAGTTAAGACCCTTTTTCTCCTCTGTTTCTCAACCAATTTTCTTTTTTCTTTTAGTAGCTATTGATGAGCTTTATTGTTATCAATAAACTCAAATTTTAAATACTTTATATAAATAAAAATATAAATGTTAGTTTGTTCATAAGAGCTAATCTCTGAAAAAATTTTCACCGATTGCTTTTAAATTTCGATACAACATTTCAATCAAATTTAGGAGTGTTTTTATATACATTTCATTACCATCATGTTTATTGTTTTGAAATGACTCCAGAAAAACTTGTACCGCTTTAGACTGTAGTATCATAATGGCTGCAATGATATTAATGCAACTTGACTTAAGTCTTGTCCTTGAAGTCTTTTTTATTTATCTATGTAACATAATTTCCAGAAAACAACTTGCCTAAAAAAGTTACGATGAATTTAGAAATTTGTTTGCTTTAGAATTTTTACAAAATACTACTAGGAATGTTTCTGTAAAACCTAGTAACACCAAAACCAGGCCTTTGGTTTCTCTCAATGGCCTTGGGCACTGTTTATCAATCTTTCCTAAATAAAAATACAGCATTCTGATTAAAAATATTGTAAAGTGATATTAATCATGTATGTTAGTGATATTGATTAAATAACGGCTTCTATCGCAAATATTATTATATACATAAATTATTTTAATAAAAACATAATGAATAAAATTTATAAATTTTATAGGAGTAAATATTATAATGAAGAAAATATAAATGAAATATATATAGTTTTTTGACTGCTTATATTTTATATTATGCACACATATTATAATAAATACAGTTCGAGTTTTTATTGTCCGATTACGAATTCAAAGCTATGCCAACCAACTTATCTTATAAACATCTATTAAAACATATTATAACACTTACATTAATCTTAATCAAGCCATTAATATTGTTTTAAGATAAATTGTAACAAATGATAATAAAAATAACTTACTAATAAGTAATATATATAAAAAAAAAATCCTAAATATCGAACAGAATCAAAAACCTTAAAAAATCAATAAATATATAATTTTTATAATTATGACCTTAATTTTAAAAACACACTTAAATATTTACAAATCATTATAAAAATTAATAGTGATAAATGAAAATAGGTATACAAAATACATTATATTAAGCATTGCTTTCACACAATTTCAGCGATTATGCCATCTACAACTAATAATTAAACTAAACTTTTAGTTAATTATATTAAAAATGAATGTATGATCAAGTAATTCTGTTAATAAACCATACATTACAAAAGATTAAAATGTTTTAAGATGAATGGAGCAAAATTTATTATTATTACCACTTCTATTATAATTAGTTATATGTTATATTTCATTCAATGGAAGAACAATGATTCGTTCGATTCAGTTCAGTCATTTCTTCAAAATATATTCTAAGGAGAGCTATTCCCAGTGCATGGGATAATAATTTGAGTTTATGAAAAGTTACGAATTGGTTTATGATTTGGTTCCCCCAAACAACACAACTGATTGGTATAATAAAAGATTCATTTTAAATTAATCAGTTCATTTTATTGATTTTTTAAAAGATAAAATTATAATGTGCAAAATTTAACAAATATAAGATCAAGTTAGGATTCTAAGCTAGTTAAAAACAATCAATACAGTAATAATTTTGAAACGAGTTTTATTTTATTTATATTTTTGTTAAACGGTTTATTTTCAATAGCTCTGTTGTGTGAAGGGGATAATACAAATTTCAGTCGGTATTCTAAAAATGTCTATCCTAAGTATTAAAAACTGAAACTGAAGTTGCTCGTTTATTAAACAACATATAAAACTAAATCTTAAAAAATAATTATTTTAAAACATTAATATTTCCAATAAAGTATTTTGAACTGATAAAATATTCAAAAAAAGATTAATATTAAATAAAACAGTAGTTTTAAGATAAAACCAAATGAAATATTGACAAGTTAACTGGTAGATTAATTTTATTTTACTCTTTTATTTCATAAATAATAGATGTCATAGAATCTAATGGTTCACTTAAGTGCTATATCTAAAATACTTCTAAGATAGAATAGATACTTATTGATATACGCAATATTGTCATTTTTTCCAAAGAAATTTGGAAAAATATTACTTCATTATAGCCTATATTTTGAATTCACTTTCCTCAGGTCAACTATGTTCCATAATTTGTGCTATTGATCCAATTTTAGTTTCGATTATGAAACCCATATTTGGCAGAAAAACTATGTTTTTGTAACATATTTTATAAGAAAATTAATAAATACATGCTCTGTTTCATAAATCATCAATCACGATTAAATCATTACTAGATTAAAATTTTAAAATTTGGAACATAACTCTGAGATTATCTAACTCCTCAAACAAAATTGTTCTAAATAAAATATCTAACAAAAAGCAAAATGGATGTTTTTATTTTCTAAATTATTCAAAAAAAAAAATTAATTAAACATATATATTAGAATGAAGGGTACTTTTACTTTAAAAAATAACTATTCAACACAAAATGAAGCGAATCATAAAATAAACATACCAGGTACAAACTTAGAAAAAAAAATTCCTTAGTAAAAATTCCTTCATCTAGTATGTAAGTTCTCATACCCAGTCTTCTTAGAGAGATGGTCTATAATACATTATAGTATGCCTAATGTTTCAATCATATTTATTAGTTTTGTGCAAACCGTTCAGTCCCAATAAAAAGTATTTAACATAAAATATTTTTTAAAACATGTTTAACAGTTAAGTTACCTTGTTTCTGTTTAAATGGTTAATGTAGATTCATCCTAAAAGTACTTGACTGCCTTAATTAAATGCAAAAGTTAATTAAGTGAATTAAGAACCCATTCAACATTAGTTCAACGAACTCTTTTATTCGTTTATTTAGAAATAATTTGTCACATGTACAATAATTATGGTGAGATATGAACACATTCACACCATATATACCCATTAAAGTAAAGAAATTTCACACTAGTCAGCCTATTATTCATTCCAAAATATTTTTAAAATAATAATGTTACATGAAAAAAAAACATTATAACAGAAAACAAAATAAACCAGAATAAAAAATCAACACTTTTTACAGAGTGAGAAATAAAACCAATGTTACACTCAATTTATATTTTTTTAAATGTTTATCTCTCTCTCTAAATATAAAACAATAAAATTTGAAACTATTCAGCAAACTTTGATTTAATCAAGCAACGTTAATTTTTTTTTGTCATTCCTTAGCAGCACTGGGTAAGGAAATACCACTAAGATATATTTTTATAATTTCATTGTGGCATAAATTGATATAATTTATTTGAAAATAATTCTCTCACATTAAAAAAAAAATAAATCCTGCCAATATTCGATATAATACCAGTACTTAAACAGTGGTTATACAATAACATTAAGAATGATTACAGGCTAAATTTATTCTTCTTACATTAAAGGCTCCCTGAATAAATTATGTTATTATATACCTACATATATGTTGAATGTTTTTTCCCTTAAAGTATTACATAAAATATATCAACTTTTACAAATTTTTGTCTACATTAAAAACATGAAAAAATATGAATAATTTGTGTCTTTTTCTAAGAATAAAAATAATTAAAATTCTAACAATACACACTAATATTATGAGATATTTATGTGTCTATCGAATTTTAAAAAAATATAAAAGAAAAACAATTTTTTAATAATGTTTCCTAATACACTGATAAATGTCTGGTGGTCTTTTTTTATAATATAAGTATACCTATATAATAATCACTACATTGAAACAAATCTTGAGTAAACTAGATAACTTTTTGAGTTCAAAATCGATTAACAATTAACATTTAAGTAACTAATAATGAATCATATTAATACAATAAGTTAACTTAATACAATGTTTTCCATGATATGTTGGAAGGTCTTTTATAAATTTCAACTTAAACCTAAAACAAATTTTTTTTCTTTACAGCCTTCGAAACAATGGAAATTTCCATATTGCTTCAGATGTATCATATAATCTCGTCGGAAGCTTTGGCACATACAGAAAATGTATTTTATTAAATATTTAAAAAAAAATTATATTCTCAAACCATAAATAAACAAAATTTCTCATGTGAAGAAACTAATTTTTTGACTAAGTATTCTAAAAATATCTCAATAAAAGACAATATAGTATTACAGTTCACTAATAAGTTATAAGACATTACCTTATATATGCCACTTTTGATGGATAAGTATTGAATAAAACACTTAACACATTCTTTTTTTTTAATGATTTTAATTTGTAAACATGGGGACTTCAGTAGATAATTAAAGTTAAAAAAACAACGAGCATGGTAAGTACTTAAAGGGATGACTACCCAACATCGCTCAGCATTTCCTACTCCCCTGGGTTCGTGAGACCTGTCAGCCTACTGAAGGGAGCACACACCAACCGAGTGTACGAGTGTTGACCCTATCCCATGTACTTTAACTGGGATTCACAATATGGTTTCCCCCGGATGATAGTAACCCTTCAGAGGTTTGATCCTTGCAAAATTTGTTTCAGGGAAAGAAATATAGATCATAGTGCACCAGCTAAATTTGAGCAGCCATAATCGGTGGACCCGGACTGATTTATCACTGTCCTTAAACCTAAGCGAATTGATGAGGACATTGTTAGATTGTTCCCCAGGGGATCGGCTATGGAGCTATGGATGACCTGATGCTGCACCATAGAAAACATGGTCCGTAGCATGAGGTTGGGAGACCCCCTCCAGACTACCTGTACTCTCACAAGCAATATACATCTAAAAGAAAACAACATGGCGGGACTAACGATCTTCATTGTTTATAGTGTTTACAGAAAAAAAAATGTGTATATATTAAAATCAACTGTTTAAGATTGTGGAAAGATAACTTATTAAAACAGGAGAAATAATTCAGAGTTATTGAGTTCTAATCTATATTATCTGAGAAAATAAAAAGAGTACAGATTTAATATAAAGTAAAATGTTGAAAAGTATTCTCAAAAACAATTCAATACATAACCAAATAATGAGGAAGATTGTTCAAAGTAGAAGAGAATACATTTATTTTTTCACATTTAAAATATTTTTTTTTATTTTTCCCTATTTAGACTTTGTGATCCCATTTAATTTTTTAACTTAGAGGCAAAGTAGAAGCATACAGCAAAGCAATTACTTTAGGAGATTCTCAAATAAAACCTGAATGAGAAAAACTTACTTCTAGTTTCCAACTCCTAATTTAAAATAAGCTTTGCACACAATTAAATTATTAAATTTAAAATGTATAAAATTATTTTAAACAGAATTGATATAATATGTAAATAAATTCACTACTTGAAATATTTATTTTAGCTAATTAGAAACTTCAAACTAATAAATGAAACCACAAAAAAAAATTACCATTATGGTCAAAGTGACAATATGGTAGATCTTAGTTTAAAATAAAAATTGTATTTAAGCAACTGGCCTAAATATTTAAAATGATGACAAATATTTAACTTTTTAAATTTTATTCAATTTTAAATATATCACAGTGGTCACTAAAACTTTTGTAAAAATCTGCAATTGCAATCATGAGTACAACTGCTGTAATTTAAACTGAGTGATTAAAAAATCATTTTTAATATAAATTGATATGGATTAGTATTTGGTCTTTTCTAGTTTCGTTTATAAATGTTAGCAGTAATTTAAAATAAAAGGAGGTTTATTTCATGATTATTATCAGCAGACATCATTGAATGCTAACAGGAATAGATAACAGTTTGTTATGTCAGGTATAAACAATTAGTTAAAATTAATTATACTTTTAAAAAATGGACACTTGGAGGGCAGGATGGCTGAGCATGCTAACCTGAGTGCATTAGAGGTGGATAAATAATTACGATTTCAAACCCCAGTGCCTGGTAGGACTTTTAACTCGGCATAATTTCCCCACCTTCTCCCCCGGCCTCCCCCGGCTACACATTAAATACAGCATTGAATACATTTTATACACTTAATGCTCCAAACAAAGATAATAATAATTCACAACTAGAAACTCATTTAACTTTCACTGTTACAATTATAATAATGGATTAAATAGCCATTTATAAAATTGCTTCCTTTTCCATATCAAGGATGCTATAGCATCATGAAGTTTCCCCCCCCCCCCTCCCTCACCTTTCAACAACCAGGCTTCATCTCAAGTGTTTTATTTGACATGAAACTTTCACTCTGGTAAATCAGATTTATGTCAGTGACTTAGTTAAACATATATATATATATATATATATATATATATAAAAGAAAATTATTCTTATATAAGTAAGCCAAGATGTTTTGAGTTTTGGATATTTCATAAAACATTTATGGCATATACAGGGACTGCAACTTAATTAAAAATTATTTATAAATTAAAACAGAAAAATTACATAATTTCTGTTTCAGTAAATTGATACAATATAAATTTGTAGGAGCTCTATAAAAAAAAAACTGGAAATAAGATTCTTAGAATTACACTAGTCTCATAAATGCTTTTCAATAAGTGAATCCATTCCTAACAATTAACAGTTTATTCACAATTGTTAGAGTCTGGATTAGACAGTTGCTAAATCAACTTAGACCATAAACGCCTAATCTATGTACATGTAAAACTAATAACTCATTTGCTATGACCATTTAAATATATAAATTTAATATTTAAATTATAAAAATGCAATTAGCTAATAAGAATAATTTTTCAATGAGAAAAAAACAAGCTATGGAGTAGTGAAGCAAAATTATATTTTATTTTACTTCTTTTTATAATTTCTTTTTTCACTTTTTTGTCCAATTTTATTGGTTTTTATCATAGTAAAAAATTTACAAATAAAAATCAATGTAAAGAAAAAATAAAATAAATTAGGAACTTCATTAAACTTGCGCAGATGGTTGTTTTCCAACAACAAATAATGACTTTTGGAGGGTTCTCGTACAACTCACTGGAAGAAAAAAAAAAGCTTAATAAGTTATAAATTCTATAACAAAGATTATAAATATATAAAACAATAATTATAAGTAAATAAAATTACTAAAGTGGTCTTAATTTAACAGAGTTAACAAAATATAGATCATTTACCATAAAATATTTTAAAATAAAATTTTTTGACAAATTTAATCCAAAAACTAGCTTTTTATTGAAATGCCAATTTATTCAGGCACAAGAGGAATTTAGAAAATTGATAAATGATTTTTTTTTTTTATGATCATCAAATTAGATATGTACCATAATATTTGTATCAACAATTAACAATAATATTTTCTTAAACAAAAAATTGATTTATTGAACTTATTCAAAAAAAATTTTTATTACTTAGCAAAATATGTGCCTAAAGGTAATGCCTTTACTTTAAAGTTTTCTTTATATGTTAAATTCAATCAAGCTTAAGTCCCTTACTTAAAATATACCTACCTTATCAAATTTTGAATAATAATAAAAATAAAAATCATAGTTTATATTTTTATAAATTATCCTTTTCCATAGCAATGTGATCCATTTCAGAACGGGGCCTCCTCCATAATTTTCCTCAGTGATTGATATACATATTAATTTTAAACTTTGCAGGCAAATGAAGAAAATATATGCATATTTACAGAAATACTTATCTTAAATATCGCTGTGTGATTTATTTTTTCATCATTGATCTGAATTTTTGTTTTCACACATGCAAAATGCAAACATGCAATCAGCCAAAAAGAAAAGAAAATCAAACGAGACATTCTTAATTTGCTTTTCACAAATTATTCGAGAATAAGCTTAACCATTAATGAAATTGACTTGAAGACATTCAAAGTTCTATTGATCGGTCCATCAATAAATGAGCATTTATTTTATACAGACTATAATGGATACTCATCCAATAAATATTATTTCATATATTTACAAAGAACCTTCATCAGTTCCTTAACTTGTTGTCATATGATTTGTACTTCTATATAAAAACTCTTATATGTTTACCATCTAAAATAACATATAATATGTTTTAAAGGAAGGAGATGGTCCGGGGTGGAGGTCATAAATAGGCTAAATAGTGGTAAAACTATTTTATTGAAAGCCAACGTTTTGACCCGACTTTGCAGATCTTCTTCATGGAGATGTGTTCAGCCAGGAGTTTGACTTAGAACTCAGAGTTCTAAGTCAAACTCCTAGCTGAACACCAGTTTTACCACAATTTAAACTATTTATGACCGCCACCCCGGACCATCTCCTTCCTTTATAATGCAACGGTCAACTATCAAATATTCAATAATATGTTTTAGATTGTATTCCAAGAATTAAAAAAAAATAAATAAGATTAAGATAAATGAAATAAATAAATTTAACCAAACAGTTCTTTGTTGTATTATGCGACAAAAATAAAACCCTTACCACATCATAAATAATTTTATATTCATGATTATTTTTTATTTTGAACTACATATATAAATGCATTCTCATACTTATTAGGAAAATCTACCACATTTACAGTTGAATTAGGAGATTGGAATAACCATTTTGTTGGGACCACGCACGGATCTACAGGAAGGGGGGGCTTTCATTTAATAGGATTAAAGAATCACTTGAACACCATATTAAATCGGTAGTTAGTATCTTTCTTTTTTTTTCCAAAGTAATTATCGTTATGTATATGAAAAAAAAGCTTTCGGGCTGAAGACCTCCCAAAATTAAATCCTGGATCCGCTAGTGGTTATTACATTCCATAGAATAGAACCAAAACATAAAAAATTCTAAAATTTTATGGTATGAAATGGCTTAGTTGAAATTCAAGAACTCTTGAAACCTACAGTAACTTCATAAACAGTTAATAAAAAATGCAGTTTACAAGGTCTTTTAATTTTTCATTTTCACTTACTCATCTCAATTATTTTATTAATATCTGCTTTAATTTTACATCTTGGACTTTATTACCTATTGAGATGAAATGATAACGAGAGCTCTGATAAACATTTATAACAATTTACGAATATCCTGCTTTCATTTATTTTGTTAAGCTCATTCCAATTTTGAAGTTTTGGGTATTGGTTCTTTTTTTCCAAGGCTCATAATTATTTCCTAACATTTTATAATTTTAAAAATACCTTTCCTTAATATATATTTCATATATGGGTAAATGAAAGTAATAATTTAAGACTTTTTGTAGTATTTAGTCCTTTTTTTTTTTTAAACTTTATATCCTTTTATTTTATTGAGAAAAATACTCTGGTATAAAGTAACCAAACAGTCATTTTAATTAATACAATATTACACTTTATAAATACATGAAATTTTGAATATGAAAATCATTGAAAATATTTACTTTGAAAATATTTTTTTTTTTTTAAATAGTAATTTTATATTTTACTTAAATAAAAATGAGCCCATTCATAATACAGCCAATATACTTCATGATTAAGACGGAGAAGAGGTGAAGAGGTACAGATAAAATAAAAAAAGAGATAAATAAAAATAACAATTTTTGATAGTTTGGTAAAATTTAATAACAGACCCTTAGGACTAGAAATAAAATATGCAGCTCAACAATAAAAAAAAAAAATATTCTCCAAAAGTTTCTTTAATGAAATGATATTTCTGAAGTTACTCCCTTCTGCAAGGATAAAGTGATCAAAAATTATTTATAAAAAAATAAATCAGAAAGAAAATATCAGCCTCAAATTACACTTGCCATTAGAATTTTATTTTGTTATAATTAAAATTATTTTTTTAGGAAGAAAGAGTCTTGTAATATAAAAAAATGAAACACAGCATAAAAATAAATTTAATTTAGTAAAGAAGGCATGATTTTGATTCTTATCAAAAGAATGTTTAATGTTTACAGCTTTACTTCCTAAATGTTTATAATTTATAAATAACTAACACAGTGTTTTGAGGTTCATCTTTTCTTGATTTGAGGTTAAAATCCATTTCTTCCAAGTTAGAAAAATTAAATATAATATTTTTTAAAAACATAATTAAGGAACTAAGATACTAATTTTCTTGAACATACAAACTCTGGCTTTTGCAATTTACTAATAATGAAATATAAATTAATGCATATCAACATAGTTGTATTTAATCTTTTATTTATCTCAAATTAAAAAAAATATGTCAGAAGATATTTTTGTCCAAACATGTTTTAACAATATCTTGATATAAACTTATTATTGATTCTAAATAGCAGAAAATTTATTTTAACCGACACATAGTAGATTTTTAGTCTTAAAACTTTTTAATAAAAATAATAAAAAAAACAGGAGATAATATAAGTAGGGATTAACAACTTATCTCATAGGTAAAGAAAAAAAAATTTTAATTACGTCATACATAGGAAAATCAAATCATCAGAAAAATTATTTTTACACACAGTTATGATACAAAAAATAAATAAATAAATAACCACTAAGCATGCAAATACTTGATTTATTAGGTAATTTTTTTACTGTTTTTGTTCTTAAGAGTTCAGAATATTTTTACCATTTACAGTCCCTTTTTTGATTTAAAACTTTATTTGTAGAGAAGCTTTCGGTGTCCATGCACCATATTCATCTCTATAATCTTTTTTTTTTTTTTTTTTTGGATTTGTCTCTACCCTAGAGGGTCATTGGTGGTATCTCTATGCTCTAATTATTATAAATTAACAGTTAATTGATAACATTAACAATATATGTATTACATAATTATTTGAAATGTCATGCAATTATTATCAGATCATTCCATACCTTATATTAGTTTTGTCTATTTAAATACATAAATGATAAGAACAGTGTTCTTGTTCTTCGTCTCATGCCAGCTTTCTCCGAGAATAGGACTCCTCTTTTTCGAACACCTTACTGTTCTTATCATTTATGTTTTTAAATAGACAAAACTAATAAAAGGTATGGCATGATCTTGATAATAACTGCATGACATTTCAAATAATTATGTAATAAATATATTGTTAATGTTATTAATTATCTGTAAATTTATACTAATTGAAGTATTATAATTATAGAGATGAATATGGTGCATGGACACCGAAAGCTTCTCTACAAATAAAGTTTTAAATAAAAAAAGAGACTGTCAATGGTAAAAAAAAATCCTGAACTGTTAATACTTGATTTTTAAATTGAAAAATCTTTTGTACAAAGGGTCAAGTTTAAGTATAAGACCTATTAAATCTAAAGAACTACTTATACAAGACTTTAAGATTTTACTCTATTATAAGATTTTTAAATACTGTAACAATATTTGAACAAATAATGAAATTTACTTACCGAAAAACCACAAAGTAGCTAAAAATGGACATCATCATCTCCTGGGTTGACAACTAGAAGGTGTCATTTTTTGATAACTCTATAAGTAACGATGATATTACTTAAATACGAAAAAATATCTTCACGTATTCTATGATTCAAACCACTTGAACAAGCATAAAATATAAACCACACCATTTAAAACTTAAGAGTTTAATTTTCACATGCACATGCAACATTCCATTATTGTAACAAATATCCTTCCTTCCTAAGTTAGACAAGTTTACTTCACTGATCTAATTATTTGCAATTAATTGTGACTTTAAGTCAAGTAACATTGGTAAATCTGAAATCGATAACGACCAACTTTTAAATAACAGATTTAGAAATAAATCATTAAACCCATCATAGTAAACAATAGACTTTTTATACTTACCTTTCATAACATATAGTTTTTGAAAAAAATTCTCAAAGCAATACTTTACTATACTTTTAAGTAAAATTCAATGCGACAAACTAATAGTCCGTGGTACAGACCCCTTTTTATCGAATTATTAAAATCCCCCTGGAATTTTATAAATAGCTTCATCTCACCGTAATCTACAACTATTTTATTTACGAAAACTCTTGGAATTGGGACGTTTGCAATCTGGAGGGGACAAACTTTTTCTATTTAATTAGGTACTAAAAACTTGTAAATACCCATTTTCTTTCTAATTTGATTACAAAATCGATTAAAAAAAAGTAGCCTTAAAAAATATTGAGCCGTTTGGGCGTGAACTATACCCCCAAAATTTCAAAATAATGGGGTTATATAGGACAAATGGCCCAATATTTTTGTAGTTCACCTTTTTTATCGATTTTGTGATCAAATTATGTTACAATCCAAGTACAAAGAAAGCGGGTATAAACGAGTTTTTAGTACCTAATAAGATAGACAAAGTTAAGTAAATATAATAGTTGTAGGTTACGATGAGATGAAACTATTTACAAAATTTCAGACAGATCTTAATAATTCAATAAAAAAGGGTCTGTACCACGGACTATTAGTATTAGTTTTTTTTAAAAAAAGTTTTTTTAAATTTTTGATATTGATAAATATGAAACAGCAAAAACTTAGCTGGTTTCATATGGATAATTGAAAAAAAAAAACAGGTTTATTAATAAAGCAATAATAATTAATAGCCTAATTTATTAACAATCGAAATTTTAGTAGATTCAATACTATAAAAAAAGTATAAAGTTTTTTGTAAAGCACAGGAGAACTGGATAATTATATTTCTTTTTTTTTCATTATACTTATTTCTTTATATAAGTGGCCCTGACGGTTTACTACTAAATTCATTATAAAGTAGTTATTAATAGTTCGCTTTATAGAATATTTTATTAATTGATATTTTTGTTTTCCTTTATTTTATTTATATATTAATCTAATTTTATTTAATTATTTTATCCAAACAACAGATATGGGTATTTATCTTAATAAACACAGCAATTGTCATTCAATCACTAATTAAGAAAATTGGTTAATTTTAATCAATTAGCCTTCATATACGGCATGCTATAAAATAATTCAACCTCACAATGGCCAACAAAATGTTTATGGTAAAGGTTATGGATCTTAAAATATTATCAGAAGGTAGTGAAGACCATTTTATGGTCAAGTGAAGCCAGAAAGCGTTTGTCGATATGTCAAAAAAAAATGTAATACATCAGATCAGGATACAAACTGGAGTATTACAACATAATGGACCACTCTAATCATTACTTACATTATTTCTTTAATATTTAATAATTTATTAATGTTTTTATCAGAGCCATATGGATTTAAAATATTAGAACAGATAAATTAAAACATACAATTATCTAATAAACGGTTAGTAGCATCCCAATATTAGTCAACATGTGGTTATTTACTTTTAATAACATTCATTTATTCATTAAAATAAAAGATTTTAAAGTTTTTTAAGTGTAGAATATTTCCAAGTTACTTCCAACAAATATATTGATTGTGCTAAATTAATATGAAATTGAAAAGTAACATAATAACATTACTCCCTTTATATTTGTTTTAAAGACCACTGATTTTATCATTTAAAAAAATAATGTCTAATTTTATAAATTTGAAGTGAAAAATTAATCATAGATAATTAGAAATATATCCCATGACATCAAAACCCATGACTTGCCTAAATGATTATCAGAACAGTACTATATTTAAATCCTTGCCCAAAAAACAAAGCAAGCTATCATATTTCAGAAACATTCAAGCAGTACATTAGATTATTTACAGTTAAAGCTCATGCATAATTCATATTAAAAAGTTAGTTTTTACAATTTACCCATACCCAGAGATTCGAACAACAAAATTAAAATAATATACTGAGGTTAGTCACACCAGATATTCAAACATAATATCACTTTAATGAGGATAATCCACATATATTATATAATATAGATATAACATTTTACCAGAGGTTAAATTTTGTATAGTGAGCCATGAATATAAATTGCAAAACTTCAATTATTCGTTTTTTTATTTGATGTATTTTCCATTTAAAAGGAAAGGCAGAATCTTATATTAGTGTTTTTTTTCCTTTAATAATATAATGTATTTATATTTATTTACTACATACATATTACTTTACAAATGTATGGCATCTTTGAAAGTTTTGCAGTTTTTCAAGACAAGAATTATGTCATTATAAAGATATTATTTCAATTTAAACATATTCAACTAGCTCAAAAATATTTTTCTCTAAAAGTGTCTTAATAATTTTTTAAGTGATATTTTAGTAATAAACAAACAGGTATTCCTTGCATATAAATAAGATTAATTTTTAATTAATAAGTGAATAAAAAGAAATTTTTAAAGTATAAATTGAAAATGAAATAACGCATTTTTCTTTTAAATTAATAAAGTTAATTAGACTGAATGTCCATGCAAAGTTCCCAGCTACATAAGCAAATACAATAATATAGAAAAATGAAGTATAAAATTAAATATGAACATGAATCAAACTGAAAATTGAACGATAATTAAATATACAAATCAATATAATGCATTTAAATAATTTACTGAAGTCAAGATTAAATATTAAAAAAAAAATTAAAGAATAATAAATTTACCTTCTTCATCGGCGCCACTGACATGGTTGCTTTTTGCAAGATTTGAGTAACTTTTCCTTTAAAATACAATACAATTTTTAACTAAAACAAGCTACAAATAAAAAACACCAAAAAAAAATATATAGCCTAGTCATAAAAAAACAAAACAAAACAGGATTTACTAATACAATTTTTAAAAAATAAATAAAGCCAAGACAAAATAAAGAAAAATAAATTACTCACCAACAGCATCGGTAAAGAATCGTGGCTTGTTTTTCCATTTGATAAAAATCAAATAAACTGGAATGCTGGTGAGAATCATAATACAACCAATTCCTAGAATACAAATAATATTTAGTCTTTTCATTAAATTTCATTTAATTTTTAACATTGAGAATTTTTTTTTTTTTTCAGTGAATCATTGAAGACATCAAAGAGATATCAAGAGAACTAAGTTCTAAGTGAAACTCCTAGCTGAACACACCTCCCTAAAGAAGACTTGCAAATTGGGTTGAAACATTGGCTTTTAATAAAATAGTTTTGCCACTATTTAGCCTATTTATGACCACCACCCCTGACCATCTTCCATAACCCCTGACTTCCTTTATAATGCAACGGTCAACTATTAAATATTCAATATTTAAATTTCGTTTGGAGGTTTTTTTTTTGTTTTTTTTTTCGCCTTTTTGCTATCATATTGTAAATACATTAAGATAATTTTCCTTAATTATTTTATTGTTTGAGAAGGAGGGGTACCCCTCGACCAACTCCTTCTCATATTATATCACGGTCGACCATCTCTACATCATTATTTTATTGTTTATTTATCTATATACCTCCTTAACATATTTGATAAAAAAAGAAATTTATAAGCAATCAATAAAACTGCAACAATATGAAAAGTTTTTAATCACTAAAGATGAATTAAATGTATAACAACCAAATACAAACCTGTCTCGACTGGACTGGCCATAATTGGAACTATAGTAACAAACAATGTACAAAGTATATACAGGACTGGAAAAATAAGGTGCACTTTGATTGGCCTGGGTAAATTAGGTTGCTTCCACCGCAGCCAAGGAAGGCACAACACCGCAACGCCAATGCTCAACTGAAACAAATTTAACATTTTAATTAATTAAATGGAAAATTTAAAGTAAATTATTAAATCAAAAATCTTTTTATTATTCTTATTTATGTAATTAGTTGGCAGTATTATTCTTATTTCTTGATGCATCGTGCTTTGTTCAAAGTGAAATAAGCTAATTACAAAAATAATCTGTTCAAAATAAATGATAAAAATAACAGGGATACAACTTAATTTATATGAAAATATACTTCTGAGTTAGAATATAGACAAGTCAACTGTCATTACAGATGAAACACAACTACATTAACTATTTTAATTATATTGGTCAATCACAACTAAATAGATAAACACACAAAAAAAAAAGTGACGGAAAGTAATAATAGCGGAAATAGGTGGATTAATAATGGAAAGAGCAACATAAATATGATAGTTGCAAAAGTTTATGGTTATTAATATCCATTACAATCAACTAAATTCCTTTTTACATAAAAGGCTAAATATACATATATTTTTTTAAATAATTAATTTATCCAGATGAAGTTGAGTCAGCTCTTAATGAAACTTTGTGCTGTCTTTATTATAGGACTTATTTTATTAAAAAATTTATTATAAAAGTATAAATTATTTATATGTGCTTGTTTTTCGTGAAAATTTTCTAATATTATAAAATAAGGCTGTGTTTAATTTTTCACCATATTCATTTCAATTTACATAGCTACGTTTCGGCCGGTATGCCATCTTCAAGCCATTTTATCCAACCATGCAGACTAATGTGACTATGGATTACATGCAAAAAGCATGGTTAGATAAAATGGCTTACCGGCCGAAACGTAGCTATGTAAATTGAAATAAATATGGTAAAGAAATAAACACAGCCTTATTTTACAAATTATTTATTTTATTCAAACGTGCCCATGAGCCAGTAAAAACAATAATGGTAAAAATGCATAATATCTAATTTGAACTTCTTTGTATTTATAAACATTTAATAATAATAACAACAATAAAAAAACTTAGAGTACCCCAGAGTTATAAAATAATTTCATTCTGCAAACATACCTCCTCCTCTCATCTTAACCTCCTTCAATCCCAATTTTTTAAGACCATACATGGAACAATTGTCTCATATACACTTGGTTTTGCCCAAAGATATTTACCAATTGATTCAGCAATGATTATCTTTCTACTTATTCGATTCTTAATAACTTTGGACAAATAATAATAAAAGCAGTAATAAAAATATTGGAGATATAAATTTCAATGCATGACTATTGATTAGTATCGAAAAAACAAACTTTACCCTTGAATTGAAGAATTTTTGATAAGGTACAATGGTCATGTTTAGAAGAGCTCTTTGTAGTGGCCTAAAGATATCTTTGCTTACAAATTAAAGCAAGAGTGTATTCTTCAATTATTCAAGGACCGGAAACAACTAAAAAAGTTTATTAAAAGTTAATTTCACTTTTGGGTATTTTTTCCACCTTTGCCCTAATGTGCAGCGCTCCCCCGTTTGTGCCCAACCTTAAGGCTGTCACTCTTCAATGCACTTTTAAAAATTTAAATTCCGAAAATAATAGAAGAATAGATATATGTATCATACTAGCTGTTATCAGCCACATGTTACTGCAACTCAATCCTTGGTGAATAGAAAAAGAAAGCAGATTTTTCTAATGTATTTTATTTCATAATACTTGTGGATATCCGATATTTTTGTTGTTACATTCTTTGTATAGATATAAAGATTGTCTGGTTTTCCAATTCTAGAATACGCAACATACAAATGAGAAAAACAATCCGTCTCTAAATCTCCGAAGAAAAAGTACTAAATGTTTAAAACATTATATATGCACCAAATTGTTCGATAAGGAATTTAAAGATTGTCTGTAAAGATCTATAGTTTAATGGTTGGTTCATAATAAAATGATACATTGATAAAAAATAATATGGTAAAGGACAAATCAACAGAGTACACTCAGTTTAATATAATTTTAAAATTAAATTTATCTAGTGTTTCATAAAAATATGACATTAGTTTCATAAATATACATACCCATGTAGCAAACCCTACATAGTTAATAAGGGCCAGAATATCAGAGACTAGCAAGTACGCCAATGAAAGTAAGGCCTGAAAAAAAAAAAATTATCAGAACTTTCTTTTTTTCACTTTATAAGATAAAAAAAAAGCAAAAAAAAAAGCAGTCACTATATTTACTCACAATACATAGAACAGCAGGAGCTGGAGTCATACGATTAATTTGAATCATAGTTAAAATTTCAGGCATCTGACCTTCACAAGCACCAGCATAAAATAATCTAAAACAAGAAGTGTAATTATCAAATAAAGTTATATAGATCAAATATATGTTATCTGCTAATAAATTAATTCTAAGAAGTTAATACAATTTCTTTTATTTATTTTTTAATGAAATTTACAACTATATAAATAATGCAACAAGTAAAAATGCACACATTAGAAATAATGACATGAACAGACTTGATGAGATACTGCCCAGTGGTAGCACTCCCTATTTAATTCTAGGTGAGAAGATCACGTGACCATCTTCTTTTCAGAAGCCTAGGGGATTATCAGAAATCGAGGAAGATGCAAGGCTGGAAACAAGTGGATTCGGATGGGACTGGAGTTTATCATGGAATGATAGATAGATAATCATATCATAGATAAATCATATAGCTTGTACACATCTACAATGTGTATGTATCATATAATGTACACATCTATGAATCCAATTGAAATGGTGAGGAACTGACCTTACTTGGAAGACTTTTTTTTTAATGATACAACACTTGTTCGCATATTTATAATTAAAAAATGTCTATGTAATATATTCTTTTTTTTTTGGATGTGTATCGGTAAACAGAGGTTAAGGAAAAAAAATGTTAGAGGACTAAACTACAGTTAATGTTGTGTTCATAAAATTGACGTGAAGGCATGCTGGATGAAATAGAGAAGAAATATATTGAATTAATATTTAGGAGCTGTACAAGAAATATACCATGTTAGAATTCAGGCTAATAATAAAAATTTAAATATAAAAGTTTTGTAACTTATAGTTTGTAAGCCCTTTTGATTAGGAATTGATGATTGGGGTTTAATTTGTTTATTAATTTAATAATAAAAAAAATAATGTAAATCTATTTGCAGTCATAAGGTGTTCAGATCAGAAGAAAACTTTCTTTCTGTAGAGTACATGATACTCCTTTAATAATTTTTATGTTTTCTGTCTGTGTTATATTTAACAATTTACAATAACCTTTGTTCTTTGAAAAATAAAACCCACTTTGACTGCTCAGAATTTTTCTTGAAAATTATGGAGTTCTTTGTGGCTCTGAATTAACTGCTCTGTTGATTGATAACTGCTGCCATTGATAAAGGTAATATTTCGCTGGCACATATGTAAACATTAACATTCATATTAAATGTTGTTCAAAGTGAAGGTATGTCCGCAAACACCGGGCACATTCCTGAAATTTCTTAATAATGATTAATATGATTTAGCTGAACATATTCCATTACAACTGGGAAGAGAGATGTGACTTCAATTAGGTGGATGTCCTGTAAATTACGGAAGAAGTCCACAACAATCGCTAAATGTTAATTATCCCAATCAATGGATTGGCCGTGCAGGACCAGTGACTTGGCCTGCACACTCTTCAGACCTGGATTTTTATGTTTGGGTTGAATTAAACAAAAAATCTATGCAAGTCCAGTAAATGACATTTATTCCTTACAAAGAAGGATAATTGAATGTTGTGAAACAATAACATATATCCAGTGTCGTTCTGCCACTTCATCCTGAAACACCGTGTATAATTTATTTTTTCTTTGTTTGAGGTCCTTAATTCATATTTTCAGTTTGGCCACTTAATCCTGAAACGCCACTGTAAATTTGTTTCTCTTGTTTTGAGGAAATTAATTCATATTTTCAGTTTGGCCACTTCACCCTGCATAATTTTTTTTTTTTTTTTTTTTTTTTTTGAGATTCTTAATTCATATTTTTAGTTAACCCTGAAACAATCCTGTATAATATTTTTTTCTTGGTTTGAGGTCTTTAATTCATATTTTTATTTTGGCCACTTGGCCCTGAAACACACTGTATAAATTTTTGTTTTTGTTTTGAAGGCATTTTTCATATTTTCATATTCATATCATTTCATATTTTCATATTCATATCATTTCATATCATATCATATTCATATTTTCAGTTTAGCCACTTAACCCTGAAACACCCTGTATAATTTTTTTTTTTTTTTTTCTAGGATCCAATGGAACGAACACAAACAAATAATTCGACTCATATACTGAGTCGTATTATTTTCGATGTAGAACCAGCGAAAAAAAAAATTGATTGAAATCGGTGATCCACTGACTTTGAAGCCTCAAAGAGTACAACGCTGAAAGTGGAAGTAACCTGCAATAGCTACGCAGGTTTTCAAAATGGAGATGTTCTTGGTAGTCAAGGTACTCTGCAACTCGTGGCAAAATGAAATTATAACGTACCACAATTTTCATTTTGCGCAATACTTAAAATAATCCCCCCCTCTCTTTTGAAATAGAGAATACATGTTAGATACGAAAGGCGGAACAATACAATTGTTGATTTCTCGTCTAGACTATCCTTCCGATGAATGTCAAGATTTAGGCATCGCTGAACACAATAGTTCGGTTTGTCACTTCCCTCAGGGAAAAACATTGTCTTTTTCAGTTTTAATTTACCATTTATATAAGTTCTGTTTGGAGAATTAATACAGAACACGCCGTAGCAATTATTTGGCTAGCAGAAGAACCTATTGTCATGTAAGAATAACCTAAAACTACATTTTAAGCTTTTCTACATGTTATAAACCTGACTTTTAAAAAAAAAAAAAAGATGTTATAAAATTAATGTAATGAACATGGTAATATTTTAAGAGAGGTATATGAATAGAAATATGATCATAATGTCAGTAATTAATATAACTAATTTTATAACACTTGATTACAAATAATTTTTTTAATTTATTTATTTACCTATGTTTATGTCAAATTTGTACTTTATCCGTTAATATTTCACTGTATTCACGTGATTTTATACATTTTATTATTTGAGCCGTTGAATACAAGAGTGGTGTACGTCATTTTCATAATACATTTCATTGAATGTATTGACTTCGAATGCTTTTAAATAATTTGATATCCTTGAGGCAGACTATTTTTAATAAAGAAAGTTTCTATTTACAAAAAGTTTATAGAAGTTTTCTTATTGTTGTAGAAACTTCAGTTTTTGATTTGCAGCTCTTTATAGGTCATTTTTGTTCGCAATGTCCCTTTTTCTTAATCTCTTCTGCCTGTACTCAACTAACCATTATACGGGTTAATTTTCTTTTTGTATAGTTAAATAGCTTTAAAATTCACTTTTGTAAAAATTTTCATAGTATGTTTATTATTCTAAATTATTCTTTTTACCTTTGTATAAAGTTAATTTATTGTCATTTCAACATATCAGAGGGAAAGTCCTAAAAAATCACGCCTGAAATATTCTATTTTTAAAATTTACTTAAGTACTTATGGTTTATTATAAACAATAATCAACCATTGTAATCAACTAAAATATTCAAAAGCTTAACCCTTCCTCCCTCAAAATTTGAGGTTTCACGTCTCAGGATACGTAGAATTCGAAAATCAACTACAATTTTTTTTCCCCGTCCGCCATCTGCGCATTTTCTCCGAAACTACTGAGCCGATTTTTTCAAATTTGGATTTGAAGTCAGAGGTCACTCGAGGATGATCCTCCTACATAGACATTGCTTACTGCCTTTTCCTTTCAAGATGGCGGCCGAAAAACCTGTGTTGCGATAGACTGTAGACCCCTTATATCAAAATATTAACATCCGCCTGAAACTTCTTAAATAGTTTCATCTCATCGTAACCTACTTTTATTTTATTTATGAAAACTCTTGGCATTGGGGTGTTTTCAATCTGGAGATCGTTAAACTTTGTTTATTTAATTAGATACTAAAAACTCATAAATACCCATTTGCTTTCAACTTGAATCGTAAGATAATTGAGCAAAAACTCGAGAAAAAAAGGTGGCATTAAAAATATGAAGCCATTTTGCGTGAACTACACCCCAAAATGTAAAAATAACGAGGTTGTATAGGGCAAACGGCCCAATATTTTTGTAGACCATCTTTTATCTCGGTTTCATGATCAAATTATCTTATGATCCAAGGGGAAAGCAAATGGGTATATATGAGTTTTTAGTGCCTAATTAAATAAACAAATTTTGATGATCTCTAGATTGAAAACTCCTCGATTCGGAGAATTTTCGTAAATAAATTAGTTGTAAGTAATGATGAGATGAAACTATTTACGAAGTTTTGGGCGGATTTTAATAATTTGATAAAAATGGGTCTATATCACGGACTATTGTGGTTGTTTAAAAGTTTAAGAAATTTCCTAAAAAAAAAAAAAAAAAAAAAAAAAAATCGTTAAAATTGGAAAATTTGGAGGAAAGATATTGTATCAAGATATTTTTTTTATGTTCTACTGCAAAGCTTATATCCTTTGATTTGGTTTTTGATTTTTGAATGGGTTACTTAAGTAATGTTTTTTTTAGCAAATTACTAATGATAAAAAAAATAAATGTTTAGGTCAATAATTGGAATCTTTGTTACTTGGAAGGTAATGTTACTATAGATGTATAATTGTTTGAAAATAATAAACTATTGTGAAATAATTTGTACAATAGTTTGTTAAATATTAAAATGTTATTAAATTAGATATTATTAATTAAATGTAATTATTAAAATATCAATACATTGATAAATAAAAATTTATGCTAGTTGTGTTACCTCGAAGAAGTGAGCAATATGCCATTGACTGCTCCGAAAGTTGACATGGCTACGAAGACTGGTATAGTCCAAGCGACGGAACCGAACAGCTTGCTAGCGAAACTCTGAAAAATAACATATATAATAATAACAAGCCATCAATATTTTAGACTAAATTTTCTTCAATATATTTCATTTTGCATTAATTTTTAAAAAATAAAATAAGAAAACATCTAAATGGGATTTCATACTTTCACCCTTTTTCTCGAGGGTTTTGAGAATTCTAAGATAAAACTTAGTAGATATTTCATTTAAAGTGAACGAAGTTTCTTTTATTGGTGAAATTTACTTTATAACCTCTTCCAGTTCTTCTCCAGCGCAATTAATTCTGGAATTACCAACAGAAGGAGATATATTCAATTATTGATTTTCACAGAAAATTTGATTTAAAAAGATTTTATATCGGTAATTTTTCTGATCCAATGCAATCCACAGGCGTATCTACGGAGCTGAAAGTCATGTGAGGAACCCAAACATTAAGCCTGGAAACATAGCCGAGCTTGTGCAAATGGTTTTCTACGCTTGTAGGGCCAGAGCAATCTCTCGCACTGATTGGATGGGGTTTTGATCAACAATGGCCTTAACATTGTTTGTTTCAATTTCATGTGGGCGATGTTGAGCATTATTGATGTCACAATTTCCTGAATGAAATTTGGCAAACCAATTTTCGGTTAAGGCATCATTCCCATAAACACTGCAAATTTTTCTATGAGCTTCTACAGCACATATTCATTTTTTAAAACAATACACAAAATATGCCGATAATGAATGATATTTTCTTCCATATTCACAGTGCAATAGCAAACACAATACTAAGCTAGTTTCAACAAGAGTTTACAGATATAGTTGTTGATATATTACAAACACGATAAACAATCCACCTTAGGAGTTAGTTCAACAGATAATAAGTTGATCATAGTGACATAAAAATAAAAGAAAAACTTAAAGGACTTATTTGCAAACCCATTGCATTATCCTGGTACTACGTTCTCCAACATTCTTTAACATTGTCTGCAAATTGGATTTTGATAACTGGTAAATGAGAAAAATAGCTCGAAACGTTGTTACAAAGTGAATAAACAGTTAAATTATAAGGGATAATCAATCTTTGGAGACACCATTTATAAGTGCATTAAGTACCCTTGAAAAACTGTTATGAAAGTAACTGAATATATACAGAATCTATTACTTTTTTAAAACATTAAATATGCTCTAAATTGTTCTTCAAAAGTAAGTATATTACTTTCCTACCTATACTAGGTAAGGAAAGTATTGCGATCAGGTCAAATTTCCGATATGCGGTTTTCGACGGATCTATACGTTTCAGAGCTTCCTGAATCCGATAAACTCATTTTAGCCATTGGTCTGTCTGTCTGTCTGTGCCAAGATTTTCTCGGGAACTACTGAACCAATTTTGTTGCTTCTCTTTTTATTTTGTAGGGCTTTAATTACTGATGCCTGTGACAGAAATTCGGTGCTCCATACGAAATAGCTTGCGCGTTATAAATGAAAAACATGTTTTTCTATAGACTGTAGCGCGAAAACGGCTATAACGATTTTGATGAAACTTTCTTTTAATGTTTTAACTCCTGTCCTTTCAATTTTCGTATATAGACTAAATTCCCGAGAAAAAAAAACAGGAAAAAAAGTTATGGAGACTAAGTGAAAGTAAGAAAATCTGTTGCCCGCATCACACAATCTTCACAATTTCCTCTACTTTCAACAGAAATTATTGTTTGACAATACTAAGCTATGGCAAAAAGTTTTTTATCAGAAATACTAAAGGGTATTGAAATTTTTACACTGATCTACCTTAAACGGGTTTAAATTGCTTTAGTCCATCAAATAAATCGTACTCAAATCTTTCTTTTGATCAATTTTCAGGAAAATAAATCTAGTTCAATTCGTTTTTATTTTCTCATGAACATATGTAAAGATATAAAAACTTTTCTGAAATAGGTAGGAAAGTCGTGTGAGTGGACACACCAGATATTTTTTCTAATTGTCACGCTTACTGATCTATATAACTACGAATAAAGAAATATTTTTCTAAAGTTTGTGTTAAGTCAGGCGCTTAATACTTCTGCTTACGTCAATTTTAAACAATACTAAAATAATAAAAGAAAACGAAAACTGAATACATTAATTCAGCTTTAATCATGAAGTGAAAAACTAAGATGAATAAGATTTTGTAACATAATTAACAATTGCATTCCGTATAAGCGAAGATATAATAAAAGAAGTCCGATCGACCGAAACTGATCATTGTTTCACGGAACTGTGACGCTGGTTAAAAAGCTTCATTGCATCTCATCATTTACGGTGTAATTATTAAAAATTATATGCAAATGACTTGAGGGAAAGTGCGTTGCAAATAATGCACAAACCAGGCCTTTAAACAGCGCTATCTGGAACCCAGTTGTCAGCCATTGTGGTATTAAATACCAACGCAGCAGTCTTCAACTCGAGCCGATGCAAGGTCGACCGCTTCAGTAGTAACACGTAGTTCGTCAGAGCGAATATCTAAGAAAAGTGATTTTATCCCCAGACATTATATAAATTGGCTATTTAATCCAATGTTAATTTAATGGATATATCCATAGAGTATACAAAAATTTAAAGTATATATTAAACATTCGGTGCGATGCGCCCATAACACAACTTTCACTTACTAAATAGCATAGAAATAATTATTTTCATATCTATCCTCGGAGGTAAAGGACACCGGGTCCATTTTTTATTAAATAATTTAGCAATTAATAAACAAATTTAATTAGCTAAGTTATGGGAAATTGGCTCCATGAAAAAATACAAAACTACGCCATTGCGTTCTTTACGTCCTGGGTACAGATATATAGATAGATAGAAAAAAAAAACTTTATTAAACTTACTAAAGTCCCTTTAGAATAACAAAACTATACAAAAAGAGAAGACTACTACAGGCCTAAAAGTTTGTAACTATAAATAAAATTTTAAAAATAAACTAAAGAGTAAAGAAAATCTTAAGTGAACAAGAGACAAAATAGTATAAGTTCTTTTCATAAAAAACTTTAACTGTATATACAAAAAAAAGTAGTGATAATTGAATAAAAAAAAAAATAGATGTATTGAATGACGCCGAAAGTAGAAAATAAATGTACTATCCCTAACAAAGAACAAAATTATCGTATGATTATATGATTGCTGCAAATAGTCAGTAGGTATCTGACTGTTTTTGGACGTTGGAGAGTTTTAAACATGGATACAGAGAGGGCATGCCGAATGTTGATAGGGAGGGAATTCCAGAAGTTGACAGAATGGTCTAGTTTTGGAATGAGGCAGAGGTATGTATAATGAGATGGTATGTACAGGTCAGAAGGTCGAGATCTTGTGGTGAGGGAATGGATTGAGGACTTAAATTGGAGAAGGTTGTAGGCATAAGAAGGACGATGATTGCTAATGATTTATCGGAAACATCTATGATAAAAATGGTTGAAAGGAGTTAATATTAGTATATATAATATATTATTAAATTTATATTAGTAGATCTTCGACAAGTTACATGAAATTCTTTTTTGAAAATTATTGATAAACGATTTATAACAGTTGAATTAACAAGATGAAAGTCCTGTAGAGGGGTATCGGGATCTGTAAATGGATGGGATCAGCCAAGTTCGGGCATTCTCTTGTTCCTCAGCTAGTTAATAATCAATTTTTTTTTTATTGTTTATATTTAATCATTTTTTATTAGTAGTTAGAATGCGGAATGGTCATTTTTTTTAAACAAAATTAAAGATACTTAAAGGAAGGAAATCGTTGAATTCCGCATTTAAGTCCTGTCAGATTGCTTCAATGAACATAACACTTACCTGATACGTAGGATTACTTATTCTAAAATCTTAATTATGTCTAAAGTTAAACTATGTTTTGAGTTAATTCAACAAACGCTTATTTTACTTAATCAGAAATAATATTCAGTTTACTACTTTAAACATTTTCAATATTATTAATTATTCTCTTTATTAATTATTATTAAGACAAAGCCTTCTCACCACTGCAACAGCTTCAGATTCCAGGACCTCCCTCGGGGACAGTGTGGTGTAGAAGGCGACGTTGGTCATCACGTAGACCAGGGTGCAGAGGGCACAGGATATAGCAATGGCCCTCGGCAGGTTTCTGAAAAATAATAAATACCATAGAAATAATATAATAAAAAAATAAAAAAATATATTTATAAATATAGTGATTGATGAAGCTCTGTTTGCACTCGGTATTTACCAACAACGTTTCCATGCGAGAAAACATGGAACTGCTCTTTTAGTTTAACACTCTATATCTATATCTAGTATATCTAGTCGGCTCTACCGTTGAATTATCGCTTTTAACTATAAAATTATCCATAAAGATAGACAATTACAAAAAAATAATAATGAAAATAAATTTTTAAAAAGTCACTGATCCTACAAAAAAACTGATACTATTTTGTTTGTTTGTTTGTTTCGATGTCTAGGCGCAAAACATCCAGGTCATAATCGCCCTATCAACTGAACAACACCACTTAATACTGTTTGGATGGTTCGTACAAAAAAAAAAAAAAAAAGGATAAAAAAAATAAAGAAATGGATTGATAGAATAAAATAAAGAAATAAGGATAATAATAGACATTTATAGATAATAAGATAGAATAGATAAATAAATAAACTTTTAAAAAATAGCAGTAAAATCAATAAATGAATTGAGATTAATAAAGAAAGGAATTTGAAATGAAATGAACAAATGAAACAAATGAAAAAATAAATAAATAAATAAAAAATAAATAGAAAAATAAATAAAAAAATACAATAAAAAATATAGTAAATCTGCAAAGATCATTAATTATAGGCTTGTCATATGCGTTTTTTAAATCTTTCACTATCCAGGAAATTTGATGACTTTGGTAACGATTTCTTCTTGATAGATTTCTTACTGATACTATTTATGGAACAGTTCAATCGTTACTGAAAAAAAATGAATACTTTACCAAGAATCAGGTAAAATTCTTAATGCAAATCAGATAATTGTGGGAATTCACGAGTAAAGGAGTTCTCAGAACGTTTTGTAATCTAACACGGAAGGCATCATTAAAAGCTGCTTTCAATATTTAAATATATATTTAGCGATATCGAAGGACCAAGTTGGGAATATGTTTGAGAAAATAAATCAGTAAAACTAATGTCATATGCAGAGGTATCTCCCTCCCCTTCCCTTCCCCAAGATCGATTGCGTAAGAAACTATTCCCCAAGATATTTTATTGCTCACCTTTTCATAAAAACAAAGCAAGCTAAGATAGAATTAGAAAAATCGTAGATCATAAACATTTAAACTTGCTGAGGTCTGTTCCATGTTTACCTCTTGTCCCTATGTCTGAAACGTTTCATTCGATAATTAATAACTCTGTCAAAAAGTTTCCTCCTCAAAAATTCAAAAAATCGCCAAAATATGACCTCCACAAAATTTTAAATGGCGCAAGCTGCGCCAATCAAACCCTCTTCTCGCCACTCCTGTTCATAAGAATATTGCCAAGCGAAAATGTATTTTAGAAATATGAAAACTAATATTTATTCATTAATATAATAAAGTACAGTTATATAATATGAACTATAGAATAAACCATAAATAAGAAACGCTAGTAATTAAAAAGTTACTCACTTCGTAGGGTCCTTCAACTCCTCAATTATGAAATTCAGGTAGTTCCTAAAACAAAAATAGTTTGATAAAAATATATTAACTAAAATTGTTTTGTTTTTTTTTTAATATTTTTTATTGAAATTTACAACTGTAAACATATATACAACCAGTAAATTTGCTACAGGAATATATTACATGAAGGTACTTGTGAAGAAGCTACCCATTGGTAATACTTCAAAGATAAATTAATTTAGGAGGTCCCTTGGCTATCTTCTTTTAGACGACCCAGAAGGTTGTCAAGAATTTTATGGGATGAAAGGTTACGAACCAGAGAATTGAGGTGACCAAAGAGTTTGGAATGAAAAGAGGTATATCTAGTTCGGGCCAAGTCTTCCGCTAGAAGAATGTTGAGGCCTTTATGGATAATTTTATTTGTGACATAATAAGGAGCATTTAGGATTTTACGGAGGATTTTAGATTGAAAGGATTGGATACGGGAAGAATTTAATGTTTTTGTAGAGCCCCAAAGCTCAATATCGAACTAAAATTTATTGCTAGAAAATTTATTTGGGGTGTAGTAATATTGCAAACAATCTACTATCTCATGTTTTCTTAGTTCTGAAGAAAAAATAATATATTATTATTATTATATATAATATATAGTTACTCCAACTTTTATCTCTTATTCCATCCCAACCATTTATCTCTTACGTATCTTCATCTGTTAACTTTATTTTCATAATTAATATAAATACTCTACCGGCTTTAGCACCGGTGAGGCGGTTGAGAGAGTAGCGCAGGGATTTGGGTTCCCCGCCTGATTGTATATATTGTATATAGATATGACTGTATTTTTATGTTTTTAATTTACTTATATTTAGGTTATTTTATTTTTTTTATTGTATATAGTTTTTATTTATTATTATTTAGTTATTTTACTTTTTTTAATTTTGTTTCTTTTTGTATATACGGTGTGAATGTGTTCATTTATCAATATAATTATTGTCCCTGTGACAGAATATTATATGTCTAAATAAATACATAAAAAAGAAAGAAAGAAAAAAAAAAGAATTAATATAAATAAGCAAATAAAATAAATAAGTATTTACATTTCGTAATACAATATTTCGTAAGATAAAATAAATCCACATAATTTACACCAATGACAATAATATTTATTTATTTTTTTAATGTCTTCCGTTTCTCATGAAGAAAACTGTAATTATTGTTATAATTACAAAATATACATGCATATTTATTTGATTGAAAGATTTCTTTGTACCTCTGTGCATACATTCTGCCTTATGGGCACTTTTTAATCAAAAGAATCATAAATAATTGACTTGAATTTAAATGATATTTTGATAATAAATAAATGTTGTAACACGATCGAATTCCATATGAGATATCCTGTTGTAAATTGTCATATTTTATTCTAATGAACTCAACATTTAAAAAAAAAAAAAGCATATAAAAAATAAAATAAAAACTGAGTCGAATAAAAAATTTAATTTTTTTGTCTATAAGTTCTCACCAATCGACATTAAAAAAAATATAATCAGTGAATTTATTAACTTTCTAATGAGTCGTTTATTTAAAAAGAAAATCCCAATCATCATTGACATCTTTTTAAAAAACGAAAAGAACAAAAATTTCTGTTATTTTAATATCCAAATAAATATATATATATTTTTTAATTGATTTTTTTTTATTATTTTAATGGAATTTACAAGTGTGTTACATAGAAAATACAATAAGTAAATGTGAAATTGGTAACATGACATGTACAACGTGAAGAGAAATTACCCATTGGTAGAACTCAAATTAAAGTTCTATATTAGAAGATCCCGAGGCCATCTTCTTTTCAGAAGCCTCGGAGGGTTATCAGGGATCGAGGAGGAAGCAAGGTTTGAAACGAGAGGATTCGGATGGTTCTGCAGTTTTTTTAATTGAAGAAATTTTTTATTTAAATCACATTTTTCTGAAAATGGTCGATTATTTCAATAATAATTTTAAAACACTGAACATTAATTTAAAAACCACTAAAAAACTTCTGAATTAGGCCCATTTTGGAACAAAAATGGTTGATTGTGGTCTGTTTGGAGAGAAAGAAATGGATTGGTTTGGGGGAGGCAGAGGAAGAGGGAGATGTTATTAAAATGGTAATATAAACATTTAACTTTTTCCTTAAAATAATGGAACAATAAAATGAATGTATTTTTAATTTTAATTCGGACAGGGTTTTGGAAGCTTTTGATATATTTTTTTTAAATAATCAAGAAATGCATTTATTATTGTATTAAAAAAAAATATTTTTTTAAAAATCTGTTATGGAAATAACATTATTTTCACAACACTATTTTTAAATAGTTCGTGGTACAGACCCCTTTTTATCGAATTATTAACATCCGGCTGAAACTTCATAAATAGCAATCGTAACCTACAAATATTACATTTATGAAAATTCTCGGAATTGGGCTGTTTTCAATCTGGAGGCCGGCCAACTTTGTCTATTTAATTAGGTACCAAAAACTCGTAAATACCCATTTGCTTTCAACTTTAATAGCACAAAGTCGAGAAAAATGGGTGGCTTTCAAAAATATTGAGTCATTTGGCCCATATAACCTCGTTCTTTTGAAATTTTGGAGATGTAGGTCACGCCAAACGGCTCAATACATTTGAAGACCATCTTTTTTCTCGACTTTGTGCTCAAGTTATCTTACGATTAAAGTGGAAAGCAAATGGGTATTTACGAGTTTTTAGTACCTAATTAAGTTTGCCGACCTCTTGATTGAAAACGCCCCAGTTCTGAGAATTTTCGTAAATAAAATATTTGTAGGTTACAATGAGATTAAAATATTTACGAAGTTTTAACTGGATGTTAATAAATTGATGAAAATTTATAGTACCACGGACTATAAATATTTAGTTCAGTTAAAAAATTATAATAATAATCGAATTCAATGGCTGTTTTACATAGGATCCATATTTATCTCGATTTATAATAAAATCGATTAGGATTCACTATGGAAATAAGCGAGCCAAATTTAAATTACATGTAATTTGCAGAACCAATCTCCATTACAGTTAACGTGAAGCAATAATTACGCAGTCAATACAATATAGTTTAAAGTAAGTAGAGATCTTATTTATGATTATATTTAAGAAACAATATAAATTCACATAAGGTATAATTATTTATTATTAATGATTTTAGATCCGGGATTGCATGACTTGTGCAGGAGACTGTCCAAAGAACTTGCGTGGTGGACTGTCCAACCTTCACACTGCCCACCGGTCTCAACTCTTCCATCGTCTGTATACTGCTTCATTCGTAAACCTATTTATCAATATATTCATTATTAATTCAATTTAATAGTAATTAGTTCATCTACTATCTTCATATTATTATCATTTCACTTATTTGTTTCGTTTTTACAGATTTCTCGTAAAATAGCTTTCATGTCTCGGAAAAAAACTCAAGGGAATGTAGATAAACGCACTAGCGAATTCAGGATTTAATTTTAAGGAGAGCTTCAGCCCGAAAGCTTTTTTTTTCACATATATAGACCAACAAAAAAAAAGAAAGAAACTAACTACCTATATGACATAGTATTTAAGTGATTCATGAAGTCATTAAATGATTAAATAGTGAGTAATTAAGTGATTAAATGTAATTAAACTAACAAAATTTCTTATTTTTTAGTTATTTTATTGTATTATCTATTTTATATACTTTTGATTATTATTTTGTTTCTATTTATTTTTTTATTTTTTTTGTACATATAGTGTTAATGTCATCCTACCTCACTATAACCAATGTCCAAGAGACAGACTGTTGTAATACTCAATAAAGAAATAAAAAAAAAAAACTAACAATAATACTTAAGATTATTCTATATTTTTTTTTTTTTTTTCTATAAAACATGGTTATATTTTACCATTTTGGGAGGGGGAAGGGCTTCGGCCCGAAAGCTACCTCTCCCTATAGATTCGCATTGTATGAACATAAAAAATTTTTTTTTTGTGTGTGTTGATTTTATTAATCTACTTCATTTTACGTTAAGTTGTTCAACTAAAAATAGTCTATACCTATTCCCTTTTTTGATCTTAATTCTGTATTATTCAATGTTATTATACCTATTGTTATCTGGTTCTTATCCCAGCCCCATGAAGGCCTGAACTTCGGGCCGAAACGTCGGCGAATGTAAAAATAAATAAAATTATTTATTTTTTACCATTTTTATTTGACTGATCACCACAATCACACTTCTCTACAAAGCATATTATTATTATAGGTTTTGAGAAAAAGCACAGAATTTAGGTGCAATTTTGTGAATGTCGATTTGGGAGTTAAAAAACTAATTTTCCTTTTTCAGAAGAAAATAGAAAAAAAAGATAGGTTTAAAACACACAACTGAAAATCCACACAATGGTCATGGTGCACGTGGTCAAGGTAATATGCTGCAGGAAAAATAATAATTCTTGGCATTATTAGTATTTTTAAATCTTCCACTCGAGGCCATAGTGTGAATGGGAGGGACAGGGAAGGACGAGAAACTTCAAAATTACAGCTTTAGCAACAATTTCCACAAAGGAAAATGCCTTTCACAACATTTTTTTTTCTTATACTCTGACCATGAATTTACAACTGTCGCTCAACTAAGGCAGTAAATGGACGAGTCGTGCTAAATCGACATGTTGGACGGAAAAATCGTACATGATAATGTTTTGAGAAACTTTTTTCATGAGTCCCGAAGTTATTCTTGATATTAAAACAAGTTTTTCAATTTCAACTTCAACTTCAAACAACTTCTGTATTTCTTTTTATTATTACTATAGTAAGAAAACTAGAGCATAAAGTCGATAAAAAAGGTAATCTTCAAAAATATTGAGCCGTTTGACGTGACCTATCCCCCCCAAATTGTCCAAATAACGAGGTTGTATAGGTGAAACGGCCCAACATTTTTGTAGCCCACCTTTTTTATCGATTTTGTGATCAAATTATCTTACAATCCATGTGGAAAGCAAATGGGTGTTTACGAGTTTTTAATACCTAATTAAAT